ACAAGGTTTAGAGGTGGCTAGATGGAGGGGATGCAGTGGATGTGTTATACCTGGATTTCAGCAAGGCTTTTGACAAAGTGCCCCATGATATCCTGGTGGAGAAACTGAGGAGTTTTGGGATACACCAAAGCACTGTCCTGGTGGATTAGGGCACGGTTGACTGACTGAAAGCAGAAGGTAACCATTAGTGGGGAATCATCGGGATGGCGGCCAGTGACAAGCGGGGTCCTCCAGGGCTCTGTCTTGGGACGGATCCTGTTTAATCTTTTCATTAACAACATGGAAGAAGGAGTGAACAGTCTGCTGATCAAATTTGCAGACGAGACTAAAACTGGGGCAGTGGCCACAACTGAGGAGCAGGTACTCCAGATCCAAAAGGATCTGGACAGACTATGGAAGTGGGCAGGAGACAACAGGATGGCATTCAATGTGGATAGGAACTTGTGCACTTGGGGCATAGGAATGGGTGTCATAAGTACAGGTTAGGTGACAAGTGGCTGGAGAGCAGCACTTGTGAAAGGGATCTTGGGATATGGGTCAAGTGCAGGCTAAACATGAGTCAGCAGTGTGATGTGGTGGTCAAGAGGGCGAATGCCACCCTTGGCTGCATAGCCAGAAGTGTGGCTTCTAGATCAAGAGAGGTATTACTACCACTCTACACGACTCTGGTGCGCCCGCAATTGAAGTGTTGTGTTCAGTTTTGGGCCCCTCATTACAGAAAGGATATAGCCAGGTTGGAGTCAGTGCAGCCTAGGGCCACAAGGTGGGTGGCCAGTTTGCAGGGGATGGGGTATGAGGCGAGACTGAGGGAACTGGGTCTCTTCAGCCTGGAGAAGAGGAGACTCAGAGGGGATATGTTGGCGACTTACAGGTATGTGAGGTGGTGTCACATGGAGATGGGTAGAGACCTGTTCTCCCCTGCAGAGGAAGGCAGGACGCGCTCCAACGGAGCAAAGCTCAGGGAGCCAAGGTTCCATTTAGATGCCAGGAAGCACTTCCTGACAGTCAGGACGCCGAGAGTGTGGAATGGGCTTCCACGAGAGGTCGTTGAGGCCCCATCGGTGCGGGTGTTCAAGGATAGGCTGGACATGCACATGGCGGGCATGTCGTGGGCAGAGCCGGCTGGTGCCGGAGGTTAGACTAGATGGCCAGGGAGACCCCTTCTGACTCACTCTGTTTCTATGATTCTATGAATCGCAACCCTTGCCTTCATCCTCACTGAATACTGGAGGGATGGATGTTCTTGTGTATCCCCATTCCATGGCAAAACTACAGTTCTCTTTAAATATGATTTATTGCCATCTTTCAATCCTTGTATACCATCCCAGAACTCTCCACCACAGAAGCTGACTGTGGACAGATGGTGGTTTTCCTATGAGCAGGCTGTGTACAGCCAAGCCTACTGATTTATAGATCTATGTGGAAATGGCTGCAGGCCCACCATTAGTGCTGGCCAAAGTATTTGGCCTGTGCTTTCTTGTTACTTTTGGAGGCTGGGGTGACCCCCCGACCCCATAGATGTCATTACTCTTCATGTTGGGGAGGAAATCTGAGAAGCTTGTCTTTAAAGAGGAGGTAGACTGTGACTTTTTTCTTTTTTACAGGGGAAAAAAATAACCCTTCGCTACTACTTCAAACTAGGGTTTGGCTGAGCTTGGAAGCCTGGTGGTGTTCCCTTTCTAATTTTGGATAGAGTGCCTCCTGGAAAGAACACAGCTATTCACTATTCACATCATTCTTAGGCCAAGCAAGATGGCTACAAAAGGGCAGCTGCTTTTTCCTCTCAAGAGTGCTCCTGAGAATGACGCTATGCCAGGCTACAACACAGCACTTTTTTATCGGGCCATTCAGTTCAACATTTTCAGGTGCATGCATCTGGGCTGCTGAGGACAACCAAACTACTGTTTAAAACTTGTGGCAAAAGGGTATTTCCCTCTTTAAAAAAGAGCAAAAATGAAAAACCATCAGCCACTTCATCTTTAAAGGTAAGCCATAAGTTCTTCTAATTCACCCCTAAAAGTGGACAATCTCTCTCTCCCCCTCACACACATACTTTTGTATAGGACAAATGGCTCTGCTCCTTAGACTTCCATATTCTGGGCCAGTCCAAGGTGCTCAGAGCTTTGCGCCAGAGCTCCTGACAAAAGAGACTACATTAATGACTTGGGATCATAAGTACCTTGCCCTGCATATCACTCCCAAATTTTGGGATCCCCAGATGTGGAATGCCCTTCCTGGAATGGCTCACCTGTCTCATTCCTTATGGTTATTTTGATCCTAGGTGAAGATTTTCTATCCTTGGAAGCCCCGCAGGCTTTAAAAATCTGAAATTTTTTAATCACCGTAACCATTGTTTATGTGCTATTTATTTTGCATATCTAATTTTAATCCTTCTGTGCCAGAAAATGCTTTGCTCCCAACTAGTGTTTGTTTGTTCTTTATGATACTGTATTCTTAATTTTATTTTATCCTTTCATATTGTGAGCTACCTGGAGAACAACTTTATTGGACCACCTTATATAAATATAGTAAATAGCTACTAAGTAAATAAATAAAATGCTACTTCAAAGCCAAGAGGAAGGACAAAGATAATGGACTGTCTGGAGGAAGCCTGCAATCCTTTAGTTGAGAGAGTCTCCAAATACCCTTTCCTTATGGCAACTGAACAAAGGGAATGTGCAGTTATGACATTCCAGTGGAAGCCATTAGTGATTTTCTGACATCATGCGTGGCATATGATTTATTTATTAAACATATTTATAGCCTGCATATTTCATTCAAGGTAATCATTATGCCAGTCCACCCATCATTCAGAACACCATATGGCCAGCACATTTCACACTAGGGAAATGGGCTAAGCAGCATAAGAAGCAGAAGCAAGCCAAAGGCTGAGGAGCAATGTGAATACAGGGAGCTAAATAGCAGCCGGGGGACAGGTTCCAGACTTCTGGAGAACTGTGGGCACAATGCTCTCAGGGAACCATTCTCCTGGGGTGGGCCAACCTGCACCTTACCACTGACACCACCACCCCTTTCTTCTGGAGCCCATCAAAGCAACCCAAAATAAGGGAGCAAGGCACAGAGGGTCTGCTTCTTCTCCATGTTCTTGCCACTACTCACATGCTTGGGCAGAACAGGCGAACAGGCAGCAACAGCATTGAGGAGCAGGAACAGAGAGCCCTTGTGATCAGTAGCAGGCCCCCTGCTGGGGTTCAGGTCTCAGCCAAAGCCCAGCAACGTCAACCTCTGCAACAACCAGCACAGGTACTACCTGGAAACACAATTGTGTGGCAACACAGAGAAACCAGGAGAAAGGAAGGTATGTTCTCCCACTTGGTAGAAATGTTGCTAACATGGCCATGTGAATTAACTTTAGCTCACCGGGACTGGAGGGCAAAGATGCACCTGAGGTAAGAGTGCAGATGAGGCAGTGGACTGAGATGAGGGTTGGGAAGGGAAAGGGAAAGGGAAAGGGAAAGGGAAAGAGCGAAGCAGAGGTGAGGTACAGCCAACTGGGAAGAGACCTTATGATGATAGCTCAACCTACCCATTCACCTAAAGCCTGCCTTTATTATTGCCGTGTTTCTATATGCATGCCCACTATTAGTACGTGTCTTGCGAGTGTGTCTCCAAGCAAAAGATGGATAAGTGGGAGAGGCTGAAAGTGTTTGGTTTAATAGGCTAATTCTGTCATTGGTGAAGGAGCCACCTGACAGCTGAGATAACCAGATGAAGAGTATAATGTGCTCTTCAATACAGAAGTCGACGGTCTTACCTATTAAAACCTTTCAAGTTCTTCTCTGTTTTCACAATGTCTTGCATTCTATAGATGAACCATTTATCAATGGCTGTGAGTTTACTGATATCATTGACAGAGATGTTGTCATTCAAGGCCTGCCAGAAGGAAGGTATGGATTAGCCATCAATGCATGGACAAAGAAATGAAATATTCACAAGTATCTAATTAATGGAAAATCTGTGGCATGTATTTCCAGCATCCCCTTTCCTTTGGCCTTTTCTCAGACGGCTTCCAGAATCAGACTGTATGTCCTGCTTTTTAATTTTGAATGAGCAAAAACCATTGATATAATCCTCATTTGCTTTTCACTGCTCTTGTAAACACATTTCCTTGTTTTAATGTCCTTTCTGTATTCTCCTGAAGTGGTGGACACTAGAAAGAGAGGCTCAGCAGTCACCAAAGGATGAAGTCTAAGGCTGAAAGCACTCCCTGCCAGTGGTCCACATGACTGTCATGAACCCAGGCATGACTTCCACCATTTGCCTTGAGTGAGGTGGTTGCAAAGCACGATGAAGGGGCTGTCTTACTAAGCTCTGGTTGAGTTAGGTAGGTGAAAGCATGGCCCAATGAACTCAGAAATTACTTGTTCTCCCTGTGCCCTGAGCTGCCCCTGTGGTAAACTCAAGGCCTGCCAAGTTCCCAGCCCCAGGAACATTTTTGGATAGCATCATGACTGGCAGTTAATTTCCTGGGGCTGGGTGAAAGGAGAGAGAAACTTGATTTTCAGCAATTTGCTTGGGTGCTCAGTGAAAGGCTGTCCTGCTGGTGCCCTGTGAAGAGCCAAGTGTTGGCATCAAATGAAGCTCAGGAAAATTCAGCACAGGTCTTTTATCCTTACAGAAATCCAGCCTATCCATAATGACGTACCCTTGCCCATTGTTCTGCACGACCTGGGAGCACAGTGGGAGCTCCTCAAACTGAGGATCATCTGCAGGACATAACTGCGCAGGAGCACAGTGTGCATTTCCGTGGACATTTCTGGAGAGGAACAGACCTTCCATGATGCAGAATGAAGAGGGTCCTCAGGCAGTGGCAGAACAGGCAGCACACCATTAGCAATTACATTTATTATAGTTGTGCTTTTACTGCTGACCCAAGTTTTCACTTCAGGTGCACTCTCCACCACCCTTGATCATTCAGGGATGTGCACCTGCTGTTGATGCCACTATCTTTCTCCTCACAAATGCTTACATTCCTGACATGGACTACGATTTCATTTTGAAGGAGTGAATGCATTTACGCAAGCACATTTTACCCATCATAAAAGGCTTATGTGAAGAGAACAAGATCAAGACACTGCTTATTGTATATACTCTTGCTCACTCCCAAGTCTTTGAGCCAGGCATTGTGGGACAAGCAAGCATGCTATATATCCCCTGTCATAAAGAAACTTTGAGCCAAACAAGGAGCCTTAATCGCTTGGCCTTGTGCTCACCCCAGCCTAGGTTCTCACCTAGCCCCCACTGCTATGCATGGGATTTTGTTGTTGTTAAGAGAAGGGCATCACCACCCTGCACCAGCAGCCCACAAGTGGCACAGCCCAGAAACAAATTCACCTGTGCTTAACCAGAGCAACATGGATTTTAGACTCTAAGAAACTGTCTTCGGCTGAGTCGGATCTTTAGCCCCTCTAAACACTGTTGACAATGACTGGCAGCCATGGTGCTCCACAGCTTCCAGCAGGATTTTTTCCAGTTCTACATGCAGACACCCAACATCACATTACGCCTGGTACTTGCAGTATGCAAAGCATGCAGAGATACAGCCCCTTGCATCTACCATGAGCTTCTGTGCTCAAAACCCCACTTCATCAAATGCATGGAATGAAGGCAAACTCTGTCATTTGAGTATGGCTTAGCAGTTCACTTATTCTGTTATCCTCAGCATCTCTACTTTTGCTTCATTTTTCAAGCAGCAAAAAAATAAAAAAGAGGTAGAGTATAACAGAGGGTACAGCTATGATGACTATCTTTAAAATGCAGAAAAACTTAACTCTCCTTAGCCCAAACCACCCACTTCCCCAAAATAAAGACATATTGAGGAGAGTGAGGGTTAAAAGAGGACTTTTGACAAGATGCAATGTGACCCAACAAGGTTTTCGATTAATAGGAATAAATTTCCATGCTTTAAGTGTCAGAAAAATGTTTTGAGATTTCTGACCAGCAGAGTTTCAGCTGTCTGAGGTATATTTTAACAAGTAAAGAGAGCTGAATTAAAAAAAAAAGAATAAAAGACACATTAACTTAATTTCATAGCCTGGAACAATCATCACCTATTTTCCTTAGAATGAAGAATATTAGGAATGAGACAACAAAAGGGCCTTAATATAATCAAGTAAAATATCTGAAGGATGAGGGTAGGGAAAGAATGTCAAACAATGCTCCTGTATGGGAAAACTACAAATAGCCACCTTGTTCTTACCTTTCAATTAAGAAAGGTTGAATATAAGGCTGTCCTCATGTCTTCCTATGGTTCTGACCCCTGTTTGTACACAGAAATCTGGAGGAGAATGGGGTGACATTTGTCACTTCACAGCCTCTGAAGAGAATGTTATCAACAGGCTTCTTTGGTACTTGCAGTTTTACTAGTAAAACATGTGTTCTGCCATTATCAAGCAGTTTCGAAAAGGAAATATCATATTATTTCACTTCATCCCCCAGTAATAAACCTGATGCACATCCAAAAAGTAATGTTGGCCTCCTTGCTCAAAAAAGAACAATGTTGTATAGAAGAAGCTAGTGCTGATCTTCCTGAAGTAGTATGGCTACTTTACAGATTAACTTGCAGCTTTAAAAGGACTGCCTCACCTGGCTGTTGGCAATCGGAAAACCTGAAGGTATACCTCTCCTGACCCATCAGAATCACCAGTGCAGGTACAGAGAAGATAGCAAGATATAGAGAAGATATGTGTATTGAAACATAGCACAGCTAAGATCGGATCACCTCCTTCCTAGAACAGTACCTTGGCTATTGCATGGACCCGTATGCTGGAGGCTTCAGCCAGCTCCTTCCTGAGATCCACATCAGCAGGCCATTCCTTGTTCATGGGCAGGCATGCTGTGAAGCCATCCACAGAGGGGTGACACATCCTTAAGGCCTTCTGAAAGCTTTCTTCAAAGGTGCGCCCAATGGCCATAACCTACAGTAAGGAAAGCCCTGTCGTTAGCATCCACAGAAGAAACCCTTCTGTGTTCCAAGTTCCTCAAGCCCACCACAAGCATTGCTAGAAAGAAAACATCAGGCAGGGTGGACCAGGGCATCACATGGCCTCAGCACACACAGGAAATCTAGGCTACAGAAGACCCCAGCAGCTTTTAAAGTTACAACAAGAGACACCCCTGGAATTTATGACAGAATTATGATTATTTATCACTATTTATTTTATTTCTATACCACCCAATAGCGGAAGCCTTTTGGGCTGTTTACAGAGAAATCAACAAGCTAAACCTGACAAACACAAAGGGGACTCCTGCATTTCATTTCCTGAATATGATGCTTGTTATCTATTCATTCTTAGATGCGGCTGCTTGCATGTTCCAGGCAAAAGCATTTGAAAAGTACATAAGGAAATAATTAAAAATACAGCAAATAACATGAAAATAGAGACTAAATAAAATGGTTCTTGTATGCCTGGAAGTGATGAGGAAATGCTCTTTCAAAATCTTACATCAGCAGAACTCTGTATCTACTATACTCAATAAGGTCTATTGTTTATTATTCTTGTTTATTTCATTTCTATACTGCCTGCAGCCAAAGGTCTCAGGGCTGTTTACAACAAAGTATAAAAACAATACAATGTTTCCTAACATCTGTTGGAAGTGTCTTTTACAGCTAATAATGGTAATTTTATTTAGTTATGTATACGTGATGATAATGTGTAAAAATGTAATCCTTTCAGGGGGAAAGTATCAGATAACAGTTTATTATTAGCTTTTTATTTCTTATTTTTATCTTACTGTATTTATATCTCACCCTTTTTGCTCTTAGGGAACTCAGGGTGACTTACATAATTCTCCTCTTGATCTTTTCCTCACAACAACAACCCTGTGAGGTAGGTGGGGCTGAGAGACTGTGGCTGGCCCAGAGTCACCCCGTTGGCTCCATGGCTGAGTGAGGGCTAGAACCCAGGATGCCTTAACCACTACACCACACTGACTCACTGTGTATATAGGATGTCCATGTTTCCAGAAATAATTACATTAAGTTTATTAATCATTTATTATGTGAATTGTCTTAATAAGGATTCTTCTTGTAGGACCCAGGAGACTGGTTGTAAGAAAAATAGTCTATACAGTCAATATGTCCACAAGCCTATGGACGTTCATGGACATTCACCTGGGAGCAATCCTTTTTACACAGTGGGATGTCCTTATAGATAAAAGGGCATTGGATCAGGCTGCTCATTCATGAATAAACTGACTGAGAGTTCAGTCCTAAATTCAGTGTGATTAACTCATGTCCTCCATTTAAAGGTTTAGCTTGATTTGATGATACTATGACAGGGTCCCCATTGTGGTGCTTGTAGGCATCCATATGACCTTTTAATTATCCCCCTCTGCCATTTTTAACATGCATATATCAATGGGTATACATCCATAGCAAAGAAAATATATGAAATGCATACAATTTTCTAGCAATATACAGAGGCTGCAAAAAAGGGAACTAAATATTCAGATATGTTTTCATCTCAAAGTGGTGGGTGTCTGCTAGGGGTGGCAAAACTGAGGCTTGTGAGCTGCATGTGGCACTTCGAATTTATTTTGCGGTTTGCCACTTGCCCCAGTCACCTGTGGGTGCCTGCTCGCCACCCACTGCCTGCTGCTGCCACCTGCGGGCACCCATTTGCAGCTCTCAAACATCTGACGTTTACTGTATGTGACTCTTTCGTTGATCGAGTCTGGCTACCCTTGCTATATGCTAGCCGTTCAAATACTGAATGCATTGTCCTCAGCCCACTGTATTACAGGAAGTGGCAATTATTTTTCTAACATTGCAATATAACCTTTTAGTTGCTAAAAAGGCACAGAGAACCCTTTTACACTTACCAATTTTTAATTTCCACAAAGCAATATTCTGAATTGTGTGTAAATCAGTTAATATCAAATACTGTTCTGGTACAAGAGTTATCTGGGTAAAATAGATAAAATAGGTAGTTCCTCCCAAATAGAAGCAAGTATTAGAATCTGCCAATACTTATGTCTGAAGAAAGCATTTTTGCTGAGTAAGATGCAGCCTAAAATCCATAAATGCAACAGGTAGATGCCAAAGTGGCAATCTACTGGTTGGGAATTTTGTAGTGGTGCCCACAGCAGTTTCTCAAATTCTTACATGTCCTCACATGTCCAAAAAGGTTAAGGACGCTGTATTAAAGGGTTATATCAATTGTAAGTTTTGATCAGTTTTAGTTAGAAAGTTAATAGTTTTAAGATCAAATGTTTAGAATATTGATGCCTGCAACTTTGTCAGGTGATGAGAAGTCCAGTGAAAAGTTAGATGAAGGAAAACTCAGGAAATAGAAATATGTTTGAAGAAAGGAATGAAAAATTTCCCTCCCAATGGGTCAGAACTGAGGAGAGAGAAAACAAGCTTTAACTGATAAAAATGCAATGCAAAAAGTTAAAAGTACAGAGGAGGAGGAGAGAAAGGAGACAGGTGAGAAAGAAGCACAAAATTCTGAAGGAAAGAAAAGGTTAGAGCTGCTGGAACTGGAGAACAGATTGAGAAAGCTGGACTAATGACAGCGACATTAATCAGAAAGGACTTGTATAAAATAGGGATACACAGTCTACTTAGTTCAGCAGGGTGCCTTGGGTTAGATGAATATATTCCTCTTGTGGAATGTTTATGTTTTGTGCTTGTTTGTTCACTCAAATTTTAAAACTTTCTATTGACATTTTTCTTCAGTAAAATTTGAACTCTGAAATTTTGTCATCTTTTTTCAACCCACCATTTATTAGTACTGTGTTAATTAGATTAAACAATTACTCCAGAATTCTACCTCATCCATAACAGAAAGATGTGAGAGTTTTGCTGCTTTGGAAGCAGCAAAGAGGGAAGCTAAAATAAATAATACTCTAAATTCAATCTCAGATGTCAAAATAATTTAGCCAAACAGAAATTTGAAAAAGTAAAGCAAATATGCAGTTAATTATTATATTTTGTGCAGCTGATGGGTAATTGGCTTCAGCTTCATTACATTCCTGTTGAAGCTTAGAGATCTAGGTTTAATATTGTTTCAGACAGGATTAAATTAAGATTTTAAAAGTCAAGCCTTTGAGACCACTACTATTATAATTCTGTCCAAAGTTTTCCCAGAGAGTATTACTAATTTCTACAGGAAAAAAGTCTGTGGAAATGCATCTTCATATACTGCAAAATGCAAAAGATCCTAGGTTTGATTTTCCATTCGGATCACAATCCTATCACCCCATCCTCGATGTGCTTGAGCCTCTGAACTCATCAGTATGTTCTCAGACTTGTTTAGGAAAACCATGGAGTTGGTGGCCCTAGTCCTATATTTTGTAAGTCAGAGCGGTGGGCCGGTTTTGATACATGAACATGTGTTTGTCGTAAGTGGAACTAGGCCGCTCTTTCAACAGAGGATGGTCCTGCCATCCCCAGAAATTCTCCAAGTTTATTTGCAACACAGCCCGTCAGCAGCAGCATCCTCTTTCTTATAAGATGCTGGCATCTTGTGTTTAGCATTTTTGTTTTCCACAGAAAGGGGAGAGTGATGCATTCAATGGCTGGATCTTCACCCCATGTATTTTATCCAGGTGGCTGTTTCCAGGGAAGGAGTGAGAGGGAAGGAGGCTGAGTACCAATAGGAATCAGCCCCCTGAAAGTAGACAATAAGTGGAAAGAGCAATCAGGTATATGTTCCCAGCTTGCACCCTACCCTGTCTCCACACCCACTTTCCCTTTCTTCAAGGTCCATTTCCTATGACCCGAAAGACAATGTGGGGAAGGGGGCACTTGCATTGGCTGGCTGCATGCTTCCAAGGTTAATTCAGGGTACTGTTTTAATCTTTAAAGCCTTACATGGCTTGGGACTGATAGATGTAAAAGGATGATTTGAAACAAGGGAGTAGCAAGATTTAAAAGGTAGCAAGATTACTTGGCCTAAAGGAGGGGAGGGGCTAAAATCAGGTAGCAACGAGTGGGAAAGCAGAAGGGCCAAATACTTCCTGATTGTTTATTGACAAGCTGGGCAGAACAAAATGAGCCTATTGTAGTCCACCGGGGGCAGGGCTGGATCAGGAAGAAGGGCCGGTGTTGGAGCAGTGTGGAGTAGGCTGGCGGGAAAGAGTGTAAACTCCCGGTACCCCAGCCAAATAGGGGAAAGAAGGAGGGAAGAAGCGGCCGGGAGCAGGGTTCAAAAGGGGGATGTGTACATGTGCCCAGGTGAACAGGAAAATGGGAAGGAAACCATTTTTTTCTGTTCCCTTTGTTGCAATAAAGTTTTAAAGAACTCCCTACATGCTTGGAATATTTTTCTCTTCCAACGCAAAGGAAAGAGTGATTTTAACAGGACCACAATGTTTGACAGAATGCCCTTTCTAACCACAATCTACTCAGGTAGTGTGCTCAACATCTGGGGCCTTCCTGCAAAAGCCTCCTCCATGGGAGGGTAAGCTGGTGGCAACAGGGAGGAGGGCCTTCTCTATGGTCATCCCTGAATATTGGAATGATCTTCCCACTGAGGACCACCTCGTGCCAACTTTGCTAACTCCTTCCAAATAGCATAAGCCATCCTGAGATGTTAAAGTGGTGGATGGGGTACAAAAGTTTTAAATAAATAAATAAATATGGAGTTGTTAGTTGTTTTTAGCAGGCCTAGCAAAATGGACTTGCCGTAACTGTTGAATTGGTTAATGTTTTAAACATTTAGTGCAATTTTACATCTTTACTGTTATTTATATTTCATATTGTATTTTATTCTGTTTTATTAACTGTGGTGCATTACCCAGAAAGCTTTGGCTATCGGGTGATAAAGAACGAAAATAAATGCACTCCAAAGAGCTGCATCAACCAACACCACCATAATCATTCATCTTCTTCATCTTCTTCATCTTCATCATCCCAGCACCCTGCAGTTAAAACATCAATGAGCTTAAGAGCATTTTGAGAAACAGTGCGGGGAAATCCTCAGACTCACCTCCCCCACACTCTTCATGGAGCTGCCAATCTTGATGGAGCTGCCCTGAAAGCGGTCAAGGTCCCAGCGAGGTATCTTGGTTACTATGTAATCCAGGCTAGGCTCAAAACAGGCTGTTGTTTTCCCAGATACTACATTCTCAATTTCTGGTAGAGGGATCCCAAGGGCTATTTTGGCTGCAATAAATGCCAAAGGGTACCTGGCATCAAAGACAAAGGGAAACATTTTAAAAGGGACAGAAATATGTGGCAAATCACAAGGCGATTTTTAATCCTCATTTAGCCTTTCTTGAAGTTATACTGCCTTGGGATGCATCCTTTTGTGAATAAGAGTAACTTTCCTAAAACCCTTGTTGTTGCAGCCAGCATTCCCATCACACAACCCTTTTGCCACATTGTTGGAAACTGCGGGAAATAACATGGTGGAACTCTCTAAGAAGGGAGATTTGGTCCTGGTTCCTCCCCTTGCTGAGCCTTATTGTAATGTTTGAGACCTCTTTGCCCCTTTTTAATCTGAAAATGGTTGCACAGAGGAATCTTGCAGGTCCCTTTGCAATTGCCTGTAAGCTCCACCCAGCCCATGTTCTGAGAAAATGTCAGGGCAGACTTTAGAAGCTTTCTAACCATAAATGCCTATTTGGCCTGTCCAGAAGAGAGTCCTATTTAATCCATAATGTTATTTATGAAAAGGATCAAAAATCCAGATTAAAGTGCAGTATGGGACACTGTTCTTAGGGACACTGATTTCCATTAAATCCATGGAAGAGTGTACTCCATATCTTGCAATGGTACACATGTAATGTGGCCTTTTTTTCTTTTTTTACAGCAGTGTCAGTATGATTACTAGTCTATCTGCACCATACTAGCCTCGGATGCTGTGGCTGATCAACAATGCTGTTCAACTACTACTGAACTAGAGGCCTGATACTGGGCCACAGATGATTTAGATTATGGACACTGATGGGCAGGTGGTCCCATTACATGTATTATTATGCCAGGCCTGGTACATTCAGTAGATGCTGTCAGAGGATTCCAATTTGTGGACTCTCAAAAGAGCAAGCTCAAGTTTCTGTAAACAACAATAAGCCAACTAATCAAAGAAAACTAGCAATACCCTTTTCTTCAAATTAGCAGAGATTTCTTACATAATGATGTTTCCAAATGCTCCCTTGTGTCACATACCCACCTTTGCTCTTTTTCCAGTACTGTTTGGTGCCTTACCCTGTAGCCTTCGATGCTAAGGCAGAGCTTCTAGAAAGCCTAGCGTTAACTTCAATTATGCAATACTCCAGAGAAGTAGGATTTAAGGCATACTGGATATTACACTCTCCTACAATGTTCAAGTGGCGGACAACTTTGATGGTTGTTTCCCTCAGCATCTGCAGCTCTTCATTTGAGAGTGTTTGACTGGGAGCTACTACGATAGAATCTCCTGTTTGTGGAGGCAAAAGTGTAAAATGTTCTGAGAGTGATCAATCCTGCTTGTGAGAGACACAGCCAATCTAGTACATTCCAGAAAGTATGGGTAATATGAAAGACTACTGATGTATTGTAAGTCATCCAACACATTTTAATTAGACTGACAGTTCAATGCTGTCCACATTTAATTAGAAGTAAGCCCCCTGGAATTAAAATGAATATAAATAGATAATAAAATAGTATTAAGCAGAGTTTATGCTAAAATTTGTCATATTTGTGTTAAAATAAACACATTTTTAAAAACCCCAGTTTTTTACAACTCATCTTGAATTCCACACTTTTGTTATGAACGGAATTCAACATCTATGCTGCATTCTTCATTTAATATCAGCCTATCCATTTGATTTGAACACCAAACCAATGTTGAATACTTCTTTATACAGATGATGCAGCTCTGAGTGCATTTTATTTTTTTAAACTGGGGACACACACATCCGATTCAGCTGAGCAAAATCAGGCCACTACAAACCATTTTTGGCACTTCATAAGGTGAAGTGGGCTCTCTGCAAAGTCAACCAGAACTGAAGCTGGACCCCTCATGAGGCTTTATTCACAATTCAACTTCAGGAAGGCACAGCTCTGTCCCTAAAAATATTGCATTTTGCTCTTATTTCTGTACACGGATAGTGGGGAGAGGGAGAAAGAGCAGAACTGAGTGACTAACAGGTTCACTTTGTAATATAGGTCATATTTTCCAATGCTTCCTCCAATAACTGTGCTTTGGGGGAGGGCAAACATGGGACCATTGTTTTGATGCGACCAGATTTCCCTTTTTTAAAAGGCCTTAAACTGTTTTTCAATCACCATGACTCCCTAGACGCTGTGGTACCTGGACAAACCCCTGAGAAATGTTCTCTTTTCACAGGAATTGCTCATACTTAATGGGAGTAAAAAAGGGAAAGCAAGTCATTCACCAGCATCCTAAATTCAGGACTCCCCTTTCAAATGAATCACTGCACTTTGCAATTTTCTTACTAAGGGGCATCTCTCTGCAGTGTGCACAGGAACATAGCAGATACATATATCTAATGGAAAAGGTGCTCTTGCACAAAAGTCACTGCACCTATTCATTCCTGTAAATTTCATCCAATTCTGCTGAGAATAATAAAAAAACTTCTCAACAGTTCTTCTCAAAAATTTGAAATGTAAAAGTGCCCAGCACAAAAACTACTGCAACTATTTTCCTGAAAGTTGGCCTAAGAAACTGCTAGGTCTGAAATATGTCTAATTAACACACACACAAAAATTATAACAAATTTTTATGTCAAACTGCACCCTGGCCTATTAGTACCTTATATTTAAAGTTTATAAGTGGCAATGACAGTGCAACTTTGAACAATAGCTTTACACCTTCCTAAGCACTAAAAGTAATATTACAAGGATCTAAGCAAACCTACCTGTATGAACTCCCATCGCATCAACATTTTCCATATTGCAGACAGTAATACAGTTGTCAGCTGCATCTCTTACAACTTCATACTCAATCTCTTTCCACCCTACCACTGACTTTTCCACAAGAACTTGATTGGTCATTGCAAAGGCCTTGATGTGTTAAGAGAAGAGATTAAAAGAAATGTTTCATTAAATTGGTACAACTCTGGAAAACTGTTTCCTGCTCTTTGGCCTGTATAAAAGAGTTCCTGCCAACATCTCACTATGGCCAGCAGGAGAAGGCAAGCAGGTCAGGCTGGATGACACACATGTAACCCATTTGCAATAAATCGGCACTCTGGCTTACTGTGTGTGAACATGGCCTTTATGTTTAGATTTCAAGATAGTAATTTAACAAATATTTGGTTCTCTGTTAGGTGGACAAGAAGGTTCAACAGATGCCATTGGTCATTCTGATAGGCTGATCAGAGCCCAATTCCATATGAGCCATGACACCGTTTTTGTAATGAGGGCAAAGAAAACCTTCCCTTTTTTGTTCAGGTCTCTTACAAGGGCTCGACATTGAGAACAGTTCTTAGTGAACATTAGTTATTGGCCAACTGCAACAAAAATAAATAAATAAATAAATAACCATCCCTCTTGCTAATTTAAATAGCAATGTCACAGCAAAGGTTGTTTTGTGGCAGCATATGTACAGAGAAAACCTGCTGAAATTAATGTAGTGGACTGTTTTAATGACAAATGTGTGTACGTGTTCATCACTTTTCCAAACTGTAATTGTGCTATAACTTATGGTCTAAACAAATGAACTGATTACACTCTTCCATAATAATTAACGCATATATATATATATATATATACACGCCATCATTGCTATCTCATTTCCTTTTTCCCGATGAATTTAGAGGATGGTGGGGCAGTAATTACTCGATGAAAAAAAGATAAAGAAAATACTTTTCTGTCCCTTACATTGCTGGATCCTCAATTTAGCTATTTTTCTAGGGCATATGGCCATATAGAACACTGGTTTACTGAGAAGCATAATTGCTTTCTATTAAAGTGATAATTGGCCATATGTCCACAAAAGTTCCATCAACATTAATGAATCTAAACCAATGTATCCAAGGCTTAAAAGAGGATTCTAGGAGTGGGCATTAAGCCATGCCCATCCAATTTTGTTAAGTTCAGCACTGCTTCTAGTTTTAGCCATGCATGTAGAATTCTAAAATGAAAGTTTCACGTGTAACATTCTTTCCAAATTTGCTATTGTATAGTTTAGACAGCGTGAGCTTAGGTGGACTCTGGTGGACTCCGGGGGATGGTGGAGGACAGGAAGGCCTGGAGGAATGTTGTCCATGGGGTTGCGATGGGTCAGACACGACATTGCAACTAACAACAACAAGCTTTTAATGAGCAAGGGATGAACAAATCCAGGAAAGCTAAAGCTAAGACAAACTGGAATTGCTGCCCTCTTGAGTGTTCCAGATGTATCTGTATGGCAATTCCTGGAGATAAAATGCTAACCAAGGCAGACCTTGTTTCTGATTCAGAGCAGAGTAATGGTTATGTTCGTTTGCTAACAGAAGGGCAATAGTGAGTTATGTAGAAAATAAAGAACAGCATGTTAGTAATGAATTATATCCATCTAAAATGGATATAATCAACCAAGTCAACTAAAATAAGGTCAAGTGGTATATCCGAAAGATGGTGAAAACTCAGGTGTTTCTCCATTTCTGGTCCATGACTGTGTAGCAAGTCAAGGACATCTCCTCTCTTTGCAGGCTTGCAGGCTAATCATCCTGTGAATGGTACAGTCAGCAGCCTGGGAACCATGTGATTGTGGTGCCATGCCATGCCATGCCATGCCATGCTGTGGGGATATAATTCTGAATAAAGCAAATGCATGAATGGGAGGGTCTTTTCCAAAGAACGGGCAGAAATCAGCCAGATTCAGGACTACAGTTCAGCTCCTGCTGGGACATTTAGCTGTGGGATGGGGGGGCATAGCCAGCTTTTAGATAAAATGGTGTCATGGAACATATAATATATTAAGGAAAGTTTCCAGAGAGAGATGTTCCCATGACTTTATGATTCAAAGGAACCACCACACCTTTATCCTATTGGCCCAGACCATGCCATCACAAATAGCCGGTGCCTTTTTCCATCTTGCTCTTGTTGCACTGCTCATTCTAAGCCCAATTCAGGATGGATCTGTGTGACATTTCCGCTCCTGATTTGTTTTGAAGAGCAAAGAAAATATAGGCCATTATATTTCATTTTGACTCAAACTGCAAAATCATTTGTTCAGATTAAGAACCATTTCTGACACATTTTTGCAGCAGTACCTCATGTCACTTTAATCATTCACATTATCCAACTCAATAGCAAGTAATATGAAGGTGTATCATTAAAGAACATTAAGTTTCTCACCCCATCACAAAAATCTATGCTTGAAAAGGGAGTATCTTCATTTGCAACAACTTTGGCCAAGGCTGGGCAGCTTCGTATGTGTATCATTATTTTTAACCATCAAATTTGAAGTGGGGTTTGGAGGCCTAGACAGTTTGGTGGTAGGTAAGCCATGTTTTCCTTTATCCTTTGCATGCACCTGTATATCATGACTCTCCTGTCTCCAACTGTGGTAAAGCAGGCAATTATCTAAGACAGGGCCTTTTCAGTTAGAGCACCCTATTTATCAGTCTCCCTTTGCGAAGGAGTTCTTCTGGAGGCATTTTTTCTGCTCTAGGTGAAAGCCTTTTAATTTGCCCAGTCCTTTTATTCTTTTAGTTGAATTTTATTAGACTATTGGGTTTTTTGGATTTTTTAGACTGTTGCAGATCTTCACTGTTATACTATTTTCTGTGGTAATGTGGTTTCCTAACTTTTCTGGGTTTTTAAAATTGATGATTATTTTATTATTACATCGGTTTTACGTAAGCTGCTCTAGGAGGCTTGTTGGAAGAAGACCAAGATACAAATATCCAAGGCAAGTGAGAAAACATAGACAGTGTTGTTAGATCTACGAGAAACAAGACGTCATCAGCAATGATTCATAATAGTCTGCTATTCCAGAACAGCAAGTAACATAAATTAACCTCTCCCTTTACATAAAACCAAGTGGCAAGATGCTTTTGTTCTTAGTAGGATATTTGGTGTCTTCCAGTCTGGCTTTGGCAGGCACTCAGATTAAAATATGCATTTGCCTAGAACAGACCTCTGAATCCCAGATCAGGATTGATAAAATAAGCAATGTATCAGCTTGTATTTGCTTATTTATTAAGTGCATATCCTGACTTTCTACTAACAATATTCCTTAAGGTGGCTAACAATAATATAGGATTATAATTAAAATATAAATGCCTTTAAAATGTGAAGCACATCGATAGGAAAAGAAGGTTAAAACCTATACCAGCAAGCAGTTCAATTTAAAAGCCAAAAGCTTGTCTGCATAAAAATGTCTTTGCCTGAGGGCAGAAGAACAAGAGAGGTGAGGCTAGCCTGACTCCCCTTGGGGAGAATTCTGGAGCCTGGGAGTTGCCATGACAGCCCTCTCTCATGTTCCACCAAAGGTGGCCATCTGAAGGATCTCAAAATCCACACAGGCTTGGATAGGAGAATGTGGCCTTCTGTCATTCACAGCAATAGCAGCCAGTTAAGTTGGCTCAGCAGTGGAGTCTTGGCAGACTCTTTTCCTAGGCAACAGAGAAGAAAGGACGGCAAAGGATCACCCCTTGCCTCAAAGGAGGTTTCCTTGCTCCCATTCTCAGCCACTAATGATTCTACACCCAGGATATTCCTGCAGCTCAAGGGACCCCTCCCTCTCCTTCCCAGAATTAGCAGACAGCCTCCACACCCCCACCAGAGATGACACCTCAAGCACACAGGGCTATCGTTCACTGCCATCTGCTCCTTTTCAGATATAATGCATGTTGGAGACTTAACTGTTCTACAGCAGATTGTGTATTTTATACTCTTCTATTATTCAGAAACACTGGGAAAGATATTGGTTAAACTGTGGAAAATCTCTGAATACTGATAGCCCACTGATCCCTTCAAAATATGATTGGTTATTTACAAGATAACGTAGAAGCAAGCTGGATCTGGTGTAGAATTTGCTAGTATTTATTTATTTATAAGATTTGTATGCTGTCCATTATTTGCGTCTCTGGATGGCTTACAACATAAACCAGAATAAAATAGATAAATTGACTATTCCACGCTGGCTGTAATTAATAAAATACAAACAATAAAATCCAATTACTATTAACACATATTAAAATATTGATTAAATAAAAAGGTCTTAACCTATAAACACCTATATCAGCATAGTGAAGGAAAATAAATGCTCAAAAGGATATGAGATGTTGCATTACTTTCTAGATTACCACATTTCCTAGAAATTGCTTTTTAAAAATCAACAGACAGGGGTTTTCCCCAGATATAGCCTGTTATGTTTTAGAAAATTTATTTTAAGAATAAATTGCTTTCCCTCCTCAATATTATACATATTTGCTCTATTATTTGCATTTATGGTGAGGCTTTTGTATTTTTCCTGAATAAAAATATTACTATTTTTAAAAGTAAAAAAGAGCACCATGCCACTTCTTTAAGTGAATAAGCAATTGCTCCAAGGAGGTAAGATCTAGGAAACATCTTCCAACAGGACTACCTCTACCTTTCCAGGCTCCACCTCAGTTCCAGAACAACATTCCAGTGACAACTTCTTTGACCAGGGCCCGTGTGTGGCTCCCACAATATGTCCCCCAAAGTGCTGGCCTCAGACTGTTGGAAAAGTCCTGCTGCTCATATTGATCTTTGCTTGCAGAAGGCAACTGTTCACAGACTGTTTTCTGTGACCCAGATACCCTGGCACTTGAACTCAACGATTTCTGGCTAGCTTGCCCTAGCAACAAGTGAAAGCAGGACAAGACCTGAGATATAGCTGATGGAAACCTGCAAAAGCCTTGGGCTTCTCCACTAACATTTGCTACTGGCTGAAACTGCCTGGGCTCACTGAAGACATGCAGACAAGGGCCACTTAGCCTAATCACAAATGTTAAAGGGGTAAGCTTACAGTCTGTTCCTGGAACTATAGGCTGGTTACCTAGAAAATATCAGTCATAAACTTTCCTTGATGGCATCAGGAAAGGGGCACCCTGCTAGGTACAGTTACAATTAATGTTACAATCAATTGTTAGCCTGACATGCACAGTTGTTAACCTATAGACTATAGGATGGAAAGGCCCTGACATGTGCAGTGAAAGCTAATTGTTAACCTGTAGACTATAAGAGGCCATGCCCAACTCTTTGCTTTCTGTCCGCTCCACTTTTGGGCATGAGACTCACTGCTGACCTGTCTTGCATGCAAAATAAACAATTCAGATCTCGTCTAGACATTGCTTCCCCTTTTCCCTGACAATTGAAACCCTCCAGGAAAAAGACCAAGGGCATTTTTGCAACAAGATTTTCACTGCATGGTGCATCTACTCTACTGCCTGCTTGCTGAGCCCTAGATTCCATCCCCACTTGGTTCTTCCCAGCCTCACTCCTCCACATTTGGGCAGACGCTGCAATGTGGGCAACCAGATACACACAGAAGCAAGCACAGAAATACCTTGGTCCCATGATCCAGCAGCTGATCTTTGTCATGACATAAACCCGAGCCTAGTCCACCCAAGGCATATGCAGAGCGTATCATGACAGGATAACCAATCTTTTCTGCAGCCTCTAAAGCATCTTCTATCTAGAATAATGGAGGATGAAATAAAAATAACATAAGAATAGTGGAAACTATGGAACATTTCTAAATCTGTATCTATCATATCATTTAGAATGTGTATGCCAGAAGGAGAACAATAGATAGTAATCAGACTCGTGATTGTTGCTCTATGATGTTAAGACATAGACCAGACTGGATTAATAGTCATAGTTCCCTCCAAAAGAAAGCTGGGGATCATTTGTTGAAGGCAACAGGGGTTGCATCAAGCTTAGAATTGTGAATTGTGGGGTGAATGGTCCCTCTCTTTTGAGTAAGAGGCTGGATGTTACATTTGATATTTTCAAACTCTGCAATTTCAATTATGTTGTAGGGTGGGGAGGAGGTGTCTGTCCAGACTTAACAATGAGCGTGCCTAGGCTGCACAATGCCACTCCCTGCACCCACATGCACCGTGAGTGCAAAGACCATGTTAAAAGGGGAAACGAGCAGGGAGACAGGGAAGGAGGGCTCGATCACCACATACTGAGGATGTTTCCTCTAGGGAAAATGAGCGTGTACTGCAAAAGAAAGCACACAGAGCTTCCTGACAATGGGCTGCTGTTAATTCCCTTTGTAGAAGTCCTGCCTTACTGCTGATTTCTCCAGCCTACAGAAATTTGCAACAGACCCAGATGAGCAAAACAATGTGAGGGCAAGGATGAATGGGAGGAAAAAAACCTATTCTCAAATGCACATTATCTGTTTCAACCATTTCAACATACAGCTATGCCTACTTGAGCTCAGCTGATTTACCGATTCCACAGCAAAGCTAGGAGCAATCTTCTCATTAATTTCATTCAGTTTGTCTGAAAACATCTGCCTGTCCTCTGTGGCCATGATGGATTCAACAGACGTTCCAAGAACCTTAACTCCGTACTCCTGCAGAATGCCATGCTTGAACAGCTCCACTCCTGTTCATAGAATGGGTTGGCAGTTCAACATTAATAGGATTTGAAAAACAAATGGAAGAACATGTTGTAAAATCTATCCAGCTATGATAGATTATCACTCATTTGCCTAAATTGGTTGGTCAAAAACACACTGCCAAAAATGTGCACTTTTGTATTTGCATATGCTAATTTATACTTTTAGGTGCAAATTGAGAAATGCTAACTATAATTTACATAGAAAAATACATCTCACCACAGTCAGGAAGAATGACCTAGAATCAGATCAAGCACAGCATTTAAAACATTTTAGAGCACATTCATTCATAGGGTCATCATAAGTCAGAGACAACTTGGTGGCACATAACAACAACAATGCAAATCCCAAATTCAGTTAGTTTATCTTGAGGATAGCCTTCTGGAGGAAAAGAGAAGAATATAACTTACCACAGTTGAGAGCTGTCTGCCCACCCATCCCAAGAATTAGCCCATCAGGTCTCTCTGCTTTAATGACCTCTGTAACAAATTCTGGAGTGATTGGAAGGAAATAAACAGTGTCAGCCTGCTTTAGGCCAACTTCATTGGTTTGAACTGAGGCAATATTGGGATTCATCAGGACTGTTTTCACATTTTCTTCCTAGAAAAACAGCAAGAAAAAATAACATGCAGCATAGGTAACTAATGCATCTTTGTTTCACTAATGTTGAAAAAAAAATCCTTTGAAACAAAAAGAACATGCTTCTCCACTTAAATGTTTTTAGGCCTGATGGATCTTAGACAAAACAGAACAGAAATTTAGAAGGAACCACATTCTAACATGTACTAAACAGTGTATGTTAACTGGCATAATCAGATATTAATTTCAGACCAAAAGATTACTATAATCCACAAATGTGTATGCCAGAATAAATTTGTTAATCTTTAAAGTACCACAAGAGAGTTTTTGAGATAGAAAGTGATTGGTAGAATGCACCGAATTGGATCTGGAGTTACTCAGACTTAGAGTAGACCCATCACTAATTTCAGTGGATCCACTTGAAACATGACTATATCTGGACCTAATCCATGATGTTCTTAAAGAGATGAACTCAACCTTTCCTTTCCTGTTTTTTGCTTTGTTTTGTTTTGGTTTTTGGGTGGGGGGTTATCAGTGAATGTCTAAAACAAAAACTATGGGAACCTTTTTCAAGTGTTAGCAGGTTCACTTGGCTATATAGTACATCATGATATTTCTGCTTCATTATATTCCTTTTTCCACAGCCATTCTTGTGAATTTGCACTTGCTCACTTAACTTGTTTTTGTTGGGCCTCAAAACTGGTCCCTGATCAAGACAATGGAAAGCAAATAACAATGTGAATAGTTATGCACATCTTGCAATGCTACCCCCATGCAAAATGCCTCGACTTCACACCCCATTGTAAATCATGCTGTCGGAGGCAAGGGCACCCAGAGCAAGTGCTGCCTCTGGAATGGCTTATTAGCACGAAGATCAAGGCAGCTGGCTGGTTGTGAGAGAAGGAAGGTCAAGCTAGCAAGATTTACTAGCAAATCTAAGTTCTCTTCAAATGTAAAAGCAGAAGGCAAGCAAAGCAGAGAGGGAGAAAGCATCACATTTAGAAGAAATGCCTTTCTGCAGAAATAAGGTGATCTGTTTATACAGAAAGTGCCTGCAATCTATTTTCTCTTTGGATTTGGTATTTTCGGGTAATATCACAGGCAAGTGATGCTTTCGAACAGGCTAGCTAGAGTCTACATCATCCAGTCTATAGAACAGTCTGATCAAATATAGCCAATTCTAGGGGCTGCACAGTGTCCATTCTGGGTTATCCAAACAGCAACATGTCCTCCATGAAAGTGGCCTGAAGAATTCAGTGCCTTCCACCTTCAAAACTGTTTTGACTGATTGATTTGCTTGGACTAATGTATTTTTTTCTGAGCTTAGGGGGGAAAATGTTGCCACTAACAAAAACACTGGTAGATGTGGAATGCCATTGTTTAAATTCCTCGAAGTACCACCAGCAGAAACACATTTCGATCTACCTTATTTCATTGTGAAATATAACAGAAACTATCCTACCAATGCTAGTGGGCAGTCCCTCTGAGCAGCTGGAGGGTATTCAGCCTCTTCAAGATGGGGCTGTACTATCCTTGAAGAAGCAAGTTCATTGTGTGGGGTCCTCTTTGATCCATCTTTGTCTCAAGAGGCTCAGATGGCCACAGTAGCATTGCCCTATGGTTTGGCTGTTTATGCATTCATTTATTTATTTCCCACTTTTTTTATTTCCAAGGAGCTCAAAGCAGCTTACATAACTCTACTGCTCCTCTCAATCTAACCTCACATCTACCCTGTGAGTTAGGTTGTGCTGAGAGTCTGTGAATGACCCAAAGTCACTCAGTGGGCTCCATAGCTAAGTGGCGACTAGAACCCTGATTGTCTTTGTCTCAGTCCTGCTTTTTTAACTACTCCACCGCCCTGGCTATGCCGCTACCTGGTCAGGAATAACCTACACTCTGCTAATCTTTGGACTGAGTTACTGCAGTACATTATTGTGGGACTGCCCTTAGGGTTGTTGCAGTTTGTGCAAAACACCGCAGTCGGATTAATAACCAGTACCCATAGGTCTGAACAAAGAAGACCAGTTCTGGCATTGGCTGCCTGTGTGCTTCCAAGCCCAATTCAAGGTGTTGGTTTTAACCTATAAAGCCTCACATGGCTCGGGACTGCAGTCCTTGATGGAGCACCTCTCCCAACTGCAATCTACCCAGACCCTACAATCAACATCTGAGGACTTCCTCTGATTGCCAGTTCTAAGGGAAGCTGAAAGGGCAGCAACAAGGAGAGATTTCTTTGTGGTTCCCCCATCAATGGAATGATCTCCCCACTGGAGCCCACCTGGTTCTAACCTTGGCTTCTTTTCAGCACCAGGCAAAGATACCGTTTTTACCAAGGTTTTTAAGGGCTTGAGGGGATTATCCATCTCAGGTGTTTTACAGGGCAGTCTTTGATTGCTATTTTAGCTGTTTCTAATTTTGTTTTTAAATGTTTTGTATCTTTGTACAGTGGTACCTTGGCTCACAAACTTGATCCATTCCAGGACTCTGGTCGTGACCCAAACTGGTCATGACCCAAGTCAAATTTCCTTATAAGGTTCAATGTAAATGAGGTTAATCCGTTCTGTAACCATTTTCTTTTAATCACAAAAATTTGAAAGACAGTGACAAAGAACAACAAAGATCATGGCCATCTTCCCCCACCCCCAGTGCAATCGTGGCCATCTCCCTGCCCCCCCCCCCCAGCATGGCTGCAATCGTGCCCGTCTTTCATGCATGAGCACAACCGCGATTGCGGCCATCTCCCCACCCCCCACACCTGAGCACAATTGTGGCTGTCTCCCCTCCCACAGCACAACCACGGTCACACCCATGCAGGGAAGACGGGCACAATCACAATCGTCACCCGATGCGGAGTTTGTGACCTGAAGCAATTTTTTCTGAAATTTCTGTTCACAACCTGATTTGGTCATGAACTGAGGTGTTCATGAGCTGAGGTACCACTGTATTTTGAAAAGATTTTATGGTATTTTAATGAATGATTTTTAAGAACTATTGTAAACAAAGAGCCTCAGCTATTGGTCAGCACAGAAAGGAAATAAAACGAAAGGAGAAGTGCTTTTAAGTGCCATTCATTTAAATGGTGTAATCAAAACTGTGTTTAACTCACCCATTAAAATCAGTGGGACTTTAAAAAATATTTAACCATCATGCCCCTTTCACCTTTTCCCAGAAAAGCTATGTTTGATCCTTGCGACCAGAAACATGATGAGTTCTCACTTCCAAATAAATAAATAAATCACATTTTGTGGACTTATTTCACAGTGTTCTATTTCTATTTTAACCTCTGCACTGGAAAAATGTTAAGAAACAATCCAAACATATAAGCTGTTGGGTAAGATTCCTTAGACCCCCAGCTACTGCAGAAAATCTAATTATCATGTCTGCTAGAGAGCTGCTCCCTTCCAGGCACAGAATTTTGTAAATAATGTCAGGCTTTGAAAGCTTGACATTTGCTGGCACAAATACAGCTTTCATATACTTCTACTGCAGGTAGGGTCATAACACAGTTTTTGTTAAATCACCAGAATGACTAGCAGTTTATTAGAAAGAATATACATAAACCTCGAACATCCCAATAATTTTAGTGCACATGTTTTATGCTCTGATTTACACTGGCACTTATTACCTGTCATTTGGTATTAAACCAATTTAAACATTTCTTAGTCTCTCAGTGTGGAAACAGGATAACAGAACTTGAGAAAAGATACTCAGGTATTCCTGGCATACATGCTGTGAATGCATTTTTTCACAATAAATGAGAGAGGATGGAGTTTCTTTACAGCAAGCCATTTAGGTGAATTTTCACTGAATATTTATTAAAAATGAAATCTGCTCACAAGCCATTCCATGGTGGATAAACAGGGCTTTATTCTCACTAAATAATTTTGCTTAATTTCTCTGTAGGGGTAGCATCAACCGCTGAAATAAGAACCAAAGTGGGGTAGACTAAAAAAAGTTCCCCTACCACATTCTCACCTTCATGGCCTTGACAGCCTGTGACCCAGAATAATCAAATTCTCCTGCTTGACCAATGGACAAACCACCAGATCCTAGGATAAGAACTTTGGAAACCTAAAAGTAAGTGATAGGTCAGTAAAGAGTCAGAATACCCACTATTAGTTCCCATTGATCAAATAAACTATTTTCATTTTCTTTCAAAATTGTTTTCAGGGTAAGGAAAGGCCCATTCCTTCCTTTCAACAAGGTGAAGGCCTTTTGATTTTCCCACTATTTTAATAATTAATTGGTTTGATCCTTGTTTTTATCACTATTTTTAGATACAGTGTGTTGTTGTTTTTGTTCTTTGTAAGCTGTCCAGAGACTTTTTTTAGTAATGGGACAGCACAGAAAAATTTTAAATAAAATAAAAATAAAAAATAAAACAAGAGACATTTATTGCATGAACATCATTCCCTATTTGTTTATGTTTTTTTTAGCTGACATGACCCTCAAGTTTGATTTCTGTGTTCATCAAACACACCCAGCAAGTTTTGCTAGAGCAAGAGAACTGCTCTAATTTTAATTTTGCACTTATTTGCAAAAGTGAAAAAGTGCAATTTTTGTTGCTACTTTTTCCTGTTGTGCCTTTGTGCTATTTTGTGATGCCACAATGCTACCTAGAGGTTATGTAGTGAAAAACAGAAAAGGGACCATTCCTTGGATCTCAATTCTGTGATGAAACCAAAATTACAGCAGATTAATTATAGCCAATAAACAGCTTTATTTAGAAAAGCATTTAGTCAACCAGAGATCAATATTGGAAGTGAACAGGTTCTCAGCTTTTTCTCTATGATTTCTGAAAAAAATGCTAAAAGGGAAACCCTTTCAATTCTGACAAAGGTTTTCATAAGATTGGCTCACCCTCATTTCAGTTCAGGACTGCACTGTCCTGTACTTTGTATAAAATCAAAAACTCAAATCTTCTGACTGAAGGATTCAAATGAAGCAAATCAATATATGACTTAACTTGCATGCATTGGTTTATACACTGAGTAAGGTCTTTGAAGTTTTCTTGGTATTAAATTCAGCTGTCCTTGCAAAGACTCTGAATACGTTTGGCACAAAATGGAAGAGCTCGGGGAAAAAATCCAGCAATGCAATGCATATTAACCATTTTCACACATGAAACTTCAAGTTGCTTTTGAGACTTACATGCCATTTACACAATGCTTGATTACTGTTTGGCAAAAGAATTGTAGAGAGATTTACAATGTGAATGGCTGTGGTGACCAATAGGGGTTTCAGCACTTTGCCCTGATTCAAGCAGGAACCACTCGTAAGAGTCATGTGTGAACATGCCTGTAAGCTGCCCTTCATCATATAGCTCAGATGATGGGCCTGACAACAGAGTAAAGAGTGGTAATACTTGGAACCTATGGCCTAGAACTATTTCTGCTATGCGGTCTGGGTGCCTGGAGTCTAGTGTCCCTGCACCCACAGTGCCAAGAAGTTGAAAAGAAATATTGCATGGCCTTCCTAGGGCTTGGCCCAGAAGCCCTGGATGGCATAAGAGAGTCTTCCAGTGCTGCTTATCAAAAATGACCCCCTCTTTATCCCACAAAGCTGAAGTATTTGCACAAGGGAAATTCTGTTTCATAAAGGCTGAGGGCCTTTTCCTAACATTTGCTGATGAAAACCATTATAAATGGACTGTTAAACAAATCCATTTCAGCTTTACTTGGTATAAATATTAGGATTATTGTGAATAATGTACAGCAAATTTCTTGATTGCCACATTAGCTTACAGAAAAGTGTGGTTCAATGATGGTTGATCACAGCTCTTGTGTTATATCTTGTGTTATATTATTTGTTCAATATCTAGCTGCTCTGTGGGCGGAGGGGAGGGGAGATCCAGAAATGGAAACTGCCACATTTGTTGACAGGTACTACTTTAATAAAGACTTTAATAAAAGATTGGAGAATCTCAAGAATATGATAGGCAAACCTAGATTCTAATCCCCCCTCCTTCAGGAACTCAAGGGGAACTCTGAACATGTCACTTTTCCTCTTTCTCACTGCCCCATCTACAAAGACAGAATGATCTATATCATGATGGTAAACACAGTACCTGATTTCTAAAGCATAGAGGGAACTTTTTTCAGCCCAAGGGCCAATTCTAATTTCAGAGAAGCTGTCAAGGGCTGCGTACCAATGGCGAGCAGGGGTGTACTGAGTCTGAGCTGTACAAATCAGGGCCTGGGTCTCTAGCCTCAGAAAGTATTAGGCCTTGCCTGGCACATAGAAGCACAGCTCTAGGGTTACCTGTTGCTTAGCTCAATAGGTGTTGTTTTCCAAAGGCCCTGGGAAAGATGGCCAAAGGACTAAAAACATAGCTGTGTTTGGCCTGAATCCTGTCTTACCAGGCCAGTTAATGAGCTAATGCTTGGTGTTATGATTAGCTAAATGAGAATCCTGACTGAAGGCCTCAGATGTTATGATTTGTAGCTGGCTAACAAGGACGGGAAGCTTCATGTCCCATAGAATACAATGAGGGAAAGCTGCATAGAGTGTTCATTTGGGTTTGCTAACAATGTAAACATGTAGTTGCATACTGCTTAGGCCCTGCCCTTGTGCGACAGCCACCCCCTTCTTCTTGAGTAATCTATAAAGGCTAGCCATTTTCCCTTGGAGGCAGAGGTAGTTGCTGCCACTGTACTCAGAAAAACAAATGTTTCCATCCCGCCTCACTGCCTTGCCATAAACACATCAAAAGATGCCTCAGCGTCTGGTGGCAAAGACCAAGTGACCCCACTCCATTAGTGGGTAACTGTCAAAGTGTAATCTCTGTGTTGTATAGGCTTGCTAAAGTGCCTCCCTAACCCTGTAAGTTCACACATGTAACCTTTTTGTTTACTTAACTTGGCCAGCCTGTTCAAGGTAACTTTAGTTTAGAAGGCCTGTCAAAGGCATCTAATTAGAATGAAATGTAACTTTTCTTTATGGTGCTGTGATGTGAATCCAATCACTTTCCTATCCATATCAAAGTATCCAATCACCTTCCTGTGTATTGAATTCTCTCCTCTTTTGTGTATTCTATATAACCCTAAGGAAATTAACATGGGGTGTTCCTTCTTAGGCACCCATGGATCCATGCATTCAATTGTAAATAAACCTATTTGCCCTAGCGAGAAACTGATCATTTGAGCCTTAATGGCAGATCGGTGTGACACCACTGTTCTGACACCAAACACCCTTGAGGAGCTTCACTGACCATCAGTTCCAGCACGTTCACACTGAGCTTTGTAAGTGCTTTGCTTGCTAATTCCTTTGAGATGCCAGCTTTTTGAGGAAATTTTCTTGTCTTTTCAATAAAGCCTCCTTTTAAGTAAACTTTGGACATAGCTTAACAAGTTCTTGAGGCCACTCAAACCTGTAGCCCAAGTTCAGACCAGAACAAGGGGTCAAAGGCGAAGAGGAAGAAACTGCACAAAAGCCAGGAAACCCCTGCAAGTGGTTGGTAGCTGGAAGAAAAGGGTGTGGCCATCTGCAAAAACTCAGAGGATCTAATTGGGATTGCAGGAGGGCTGGATGTTCCCCAGCCATGTTCCAAAGGGATGCACTAGTGTTCAGGGATCCTAGAAAGGGACACCCTTTAGTCAGCAAGTCTTCCCGCAGATTCACATATGCAGGTGTTGGTTGTGGCATTCTGCATCAGAGCAGAGATACTGTGTTTTTATTTTCTTTACTCACACATTCCAGAACTCAGCCCTGGCTTTTGAACAGGGTCAAAACTGAGCCCTCGTAAGTTTAGGAACAAAATTAGTCCTAAATAAGTGAAATAAAAAGGTGTGACATTTCCTGATCTAGCAGACCATACTTCTAAACAAAAATCCAAGAATTCAGCTTTAGGCATGCATGCCAAATCCCCATGTCCCAGTAATTATTTCAGGCTAAACTGAAAATGAATCTAACTTAATGAGTAACAAAATCAGGACTTATTTGGAAAGGAATCTGGGTTGAAGAAATCCTCAGGTAACAGTTCTGGAAACCGAATCTGCCTATCTCTTTCAATAACAACGCCCATCACTGTATGACTGATGGCTAAACACAAAGCACATTAATAAACTGACCTCCACTCTCGAAGTTGCAGCTGTGGCCTTGGGTAGCACTGAAGCAAAGCTTGTGCCTTTTCCCTTCTTGATCAGTGAAATAAATGAATCAAATAAGAACTAGGGAAAGTAAATACAATTCAGATCAGTACCAACAAAAGAACTATATATTAACATTATAAAGAGACCAGGGTAGGGTTAAGGTACATAGGGGTATAGGGACATTAAAGGCCAAATCTGCTCTTCACAATGGATCTCCACTGCTATTAATTCTCCCAGCCTTCCCCAGCCTGGCTTCTACCAGGTAAATTGAACTGCAATCCCCATCATTCCCAGGCTGCTTGGGCCATGCTGGGGATGATGGGGCTATGGTCTACTGCAGCCACAGGGCATCAGATAGGAAAAGCTGAGTTATGCCCTGCTGTTTCCAACTGCCACCTATTTTCCATGTTGCAGAAAGCCACTGAGTTTATCCCAGGAAACAAAGAGTAAAGTTACAATGCCACATCCTGCAGTATTATCTTCTTCTGCACTGTGCAGCCACTGGCCAAAAAGCAGTTTTGAACTTCCAGTCTTTGAAGAAGCTTCTGGTCAGGACAAGCATTGCAATACTCTTGAAGGCAGCAGTAACCTGGCTGTGTGACATGATGTTCTTGCACAGAGGCAGCTTCTTTGTCCCCAAAGGGGTTTGGGGTTGGGTTCCCCCTTGTACCAAGGGTACCCTGTGTGCCTTAAGCCCTTGTACCCTGAAGAGACTGTTGGATCAAAGTGAATATTGCCAATATTCTGAAGGCATAATTTAAGCCCATCACATCTCCACCTGTATCATGGCCTCCTGTCATATTCCACTACATATAAAGCCTTGCCCCAGCTCATCTTTCCTAACCTCTTCCCAAATTCTTGGCACAAAAGCACCAGGTCAGGAAAATAGTGGAGTTTGCACATAAATATGGATATTGAAGCAGTTTGCATAAATTCTATTACTGCTATCATAAGCAAAGGATTTGCAGGGCTTTAGTGCAATGAACTACCATGATTACTCCTGCTGGAATTTGCCTATTTGCTACAATTAGAACTCTCTCTAATTAGGTTGTGAGGCTAATTAATCTAATTAACAATTAACCTAATTAATAGTGGCATTCATTGTTTTGTATCCCAAGCAACCCAAATGCCAGAGTGCATAAGAAGCTTAAAGCACATATCTAATCCAATCTTCATGAAAACCTGAACACAGGTCAGTCTGCTGATTTTCAGCAAATGCTGATAACAATGGTTTTTGTATATTTCCATTCAAATGGGATTTTACCTGTGTATCCCAATGGAAAGACTAGCCCAATACAGGCATTGGCCTGCAGCTTGAGTAGGACTAAAGCATGGAGGGGGTGTAGCTGTGCATGTAAGCCCCCTTCCCCAAATCCCCACATGCGCAACTATGTTACTTTGGTCTGTGATTATAAGCAGAGCTGTGGGCTCATCCAGCAAACCACAGTCACAAACCCTCTTCAAATCTTTCCACCAAACCCATCGAGATCTCTTAACACACCTGGGTGTGTTACTCAATATACTCCTGTAGGGATTGTCATGAGATGCCAGTTGAGCGTGCAGTTTGCATATGTGCCCACATTCCTCCGTGTTTCAGCTGTATTCATGCCGCAGGCATAATCTAATGCTGGGATTTTGTTGGGTCTACTTGCATAAGCCTACTGCTGGGATTTTATTGGGGGACCTAGATTTGAATATGAGCCTGCCTAAGACTCAGATAAATAAGCTTAAATAAACCACTCTAGCATAGCAAATCCAGCTTCCTAGTTTATTAAATGGGAGTAGTAAGGGCCTATGCCACAGACCTAGTACGAAGAGAAATGTAATGAGAAAGGCTGCCGCCCATCACAAATCCTATGAAATTTCCCCCTGCTGTGCTTCCCAGTCATGTGTTTGCTGCATTGTGGGGAAGAACAATGAAGGCAGGTAACTGCAGGGGAAAGTGGTAGGGGAACACCTTGTCCTACACCTGAGGTGCTTCCCCTGCAAACAGCTCGTCCACACCCTGCACAATGCTGTCCTCAGTAATGACAAGGATCCCCAGAACCAAGCCAACCGCCTGTCAATGCTGCCAACTATCATTAGTATTATACTACATTTATACCCCATCTTTTTCTCCCTTGAGAGGAACCCAAGGCAGCTTACATAGCTCCATTTTACCCTTGCAGCAACAACCCTGTGAGGTAGGTTAGGCTGAGAAGGAATGCCTGGCCCAAAGTTACCTAGTGAGCTTCACGGATGAGTGGGACTAGATCCCAGCTGTCCCAGGTCCCCAGTCCAACATTCTAACCATCATATCACTCTGTATTTTATGTATAAACTGTACATAAATATTCAGCTTTCCTTCCTTTTATAGCAGGTATCTTTGAAAGACTGGGTCTGTGTAACTAGCTAAAAAAGGGCCATAGAGAGTTGTTTGACTCTTTGGAGGATCTTGGTTGTTTAGCTTGGCATGCAAATTACTTGCTATTGGTAAACTCAGTCCTACATTTAGTTAACCCAAAAAATAACTAAAATGCTTTATTTTCCAGGTCTTATTTTCATTTATTTCTCATGAATGATGAGTACTATATTATGGGTGAGCATACTTTCTTTTTTCATTGTTTTACATTCCGGTGCTGTTTAGTCACACTCCCCCAACTACTCAACAATATACTGCTGTAGGGATTGTCATGAGATGTCATGGATCAGGAATTAACTTTTGTTTTCAAATAAGAGAGCAAGAATTGTCCATGAGAATCCATTTACCAGTACAGCTTCAATCATGCAAAAGTATTCAAAATGTATTTGAAAGATAGTGGACATTATTTTAAAGACAAACATAGCTGCCTGTCAGTAATATAGAGCATTTTCATTTATATAAAGCACATGTTCCATTTCTGAGGGCCCGATCCTGCCTCTATGAATGGTACTATTGGTTTAATATGAAACAACCCAAAGCATAACAAGAACCAAGGCCTAAGTCTACCTTTTCCAATTTGCATTCCTGGATGTTGCTGGACTACAAATCCTTTCAAGCCCAGTCAGCATGGCCAATGGCCAGGGTTGGTAAGAGCTGTAGTTCAACAAAATCTGGTTAGGAAAGGCTGCATTAAGTAAATAACTTGATGCAAACTTTTGCCTTCTCCCTGCCCATGATTTTCCTTGAAGTATATTGGAACCAGTACGCTGAACTAGTTGGGCTCTAGATGTGATCCAGAATGCCTGTACTTATGATTCTCGCTAAAGACTGGCAGTGCCAAACTGACTAGTAAGGGCTCTGTTGCAGATGGCCTGCTATAAGAGTCCCTACCTTGCTAGTTGTAGGTGCTATATTTTCTTGCCAATACTTGTAGTTCACTAACATTTGCATTCTGCCCTTCCTACAGGAAGCTCAGTGCAACCATTTATTGGCCAGTGTTGGACCCGCTTAGTTGCAGAAACAGAGCACCTGAGTCAGATTTGAGACATTCTCAAGCCAGTCTTCCCCACCAGGAAGCATACTTAGCACTGCTCCCTTGAGATTTTTTTACTATTTCATAATGTAGGTGTTGATCTTACAGCAGTATCCCTCTCTGCACATAAGCACTATGATGTGTGACAACCTTGCCCTGGCACTGGTCTTGGATGATGCCATCACACTGCTACAGCACAGAGAATATGCATGAGTCCCAGGGACTTAACACTGAGCAAGGCTGAACTCACAGAAAACTGCCATGTCTGGTTCCAAACAGGAAACTTATTAGCCAGAACATGGTAAATGAGGTTCTGCTTTTTGGGCAAAGTTACATTCAGAGTTGCATACATGAAAGTCTTTTAACAAGTCCTAAAGCACATACATACAAGAATTTTGTTTCCGTTTCCAAATTCTTCAGAAATACTCCTTTTGATACTGCAAATGCAAACATGTATGTTCTTGGCAAATGTTCACAAATTCCCTAACATGTGGTCACATCTGAAAAATGCCATTTTTAAAAGGCACACTTTAAAGATTCACATTTTTACCCTTTAGCCAATTGATGGAAAGTGCATACTTTTGAAACAAACTAAACCAAATAGACCAAGCTCTGCGATGGTTTGGATGATTGCAGTGAGCGTAGGCATCCTGGGTTCTCTCACCATTTTACATGTGGGTTGGTGGTGGTAGTTTTCAGACCCAGCCCTTTATACTACGATTCTGCACATATGCATTCCATTGGATTTGTTACTGCATGTTGGTGTAGAGGAGGTTCTTTGGTTTTTATTGTTCTTACTTTACTTGCTTTGGAACTCCTTTCAGAAAATGATACAGAAAGGGCTCAAACACTCAGCTCATTAGCTCACTAATTTCACAGTACCTCAGTGTCTGTGGGCCCTGGATTGGCTTCTGGGTAGAACTGTGCAGTGAAAATTGGCTTGTTCTCATGCATAATACCCTGCAAGGTTAAATGAAGAAGGAAGAGGTTACATGCATTATGGAGAGAAGAGAGTTATCAAAATCCATCAAGAAGTCAGGGTTAAAGGGCTGGTATAATTTAGGGACAGAGTTGAAATTTAGTGCATTTGAGGTCCTCAAACACTATTTTGCCCACACTCTTCTGAGAAAGGCCCAGTGTTTGAGTAATCCAGCCTTTCTCAGCCTGTTTCCCTCCAGATGTCTTGCACTGAAACTCCCATCATGCCCAGCCAACATCGACATCCCTCCCAGCCCACCATCTAACAGTCTACTGTCTTTAGGCAGTATCCTAAGCTGCCCATGTGCCACCAGGCCCTACCACTAGCAAAGTTGTTGTTGTTAGTCGCGAAGTCGTGTCCGACCCATCACGACCCCATGGACAACATTCCTCAAGGCCTTCCTGTCCTCCACCATCCCCCGGAGTCCACTCAAGCTCACACCAACTGCTTCAGTGACTCCATCTAGCCACCTCATCCTCTGCCATCCCCTTCTCCTTTTGCCATCTATTGTTCCCAGCATTAGGCTCTTCTCCAGGGAGTCCTTCCTTCTCATTAGGTGGCCAAAGTATTTGAGTTTCATCTTCAGGATCTGGCCTTCTAAAGAGCAGTCAGGGCTGACCTCCTCTAGGACTGACCAGTTTGATCGCCTTGCTGTCCAAGGGACTCGTAGGAGTCTTCTCCAGCACCACAATTCAAAGGCCTTAATTCTTCGGCGCTCAGCCTTTCTTATGGTCCAACTTTCACAGCTGTACATTGCAACTGGGAAAACCATAGCCTTGACTATATGCACTTTTGTTGGCAGGGTAATGTCTCTGCAAAGTAGGACTTCCTAAAGCAACTGAAAACAAGCTAAACCATTCTTTTACCAAATAGAAGTCAATGAAAGTAGTAGAAAATGGGCTCACTCCTGGGATTGCTCAATGAAGCATTCACTTCCTGTTTGTGCTACCACAATGTCCCACTGTTGGCAAAACGCTAATTGCAGAAACACACCAGCAGCACTGGATACTGGTCCTTTCCAATATACGCATCAACACATTTCCTTTACTTTTGTTCTCTGCCTTATAAGGGAAGTCTGAGTTCTAACTGTTGCTAGAAACAGATCTGAATAATGTTTGGCTTTGAATTTATAAACTCAAAGGAAGAGCAGCCATTTCTTCTTTGTCCTAATGCTGCAATTTCTGTTTCTACCAGGCACGATCTTGCCTTATAACATCTGCAAAGCACCTCCTTCAGTGCATGTCAAGACTGTTATTAAGCACAGACTGAGGGTCCCAGCATGCTGAGAACCACCCCACCCCCAGCAAACCTCTAGGCTGAAAAAGAAGATGCAGACCTCACTAAGCTTTGGTGTATATTTTGGGCACTGTCCCTGTATAGAGAAAGTCCACTAAATTTTCCAGTAAAAATCAGAAGACTGGAAGTGGAGGTGGTGGGGGACATATGAAGTCATAGGGCTGACATTCTAGCCAAGGCAGACACAGGTATGCTCATCGGTGCACCTGAGCAGAGTATGGCCCACTTCCCTGTCTCATTTGCAGGCACCCACAGAGAGGAAGTTTTACCTCGTTTGTTTGATCGTTGGCATTCACAAAAAGAGGCTTCCAGCCAGGAGGGAGGGAGCAGCTTTCAATTGCATAGCCATGATTCTGAGCAGTAATGAAAGCTTGTCCATTTATCATATTCACAACTGGTTGGTTCTGTCCTCTAAAGAGAGATAGGCCAACAGGGAAAGGAAGAGAAGAGGTGGTTTGGGGAGGGAATTGGGGCAGGGAAGGAGTCCACAATTAATAACACACAGGAGAAAACAAAAGGAATAGACAGTACTGTTAATTGCAATTCTGCAAGGGGGTAACAAGAAGTTTAAGGTTAAAATAAATTTGCCCCTTGAAATCTTGGGGGGGGAATATATCTCATTTCATTTCATTTCATTTCATTTCATTTCATTTCATTTCATTTCATTAAGATCTCATCATAATTTAAGTTCAGCAAAGTGCAGGCCATTTCTACTAGACTGCCATCACTGTGACAGCTGGAGCATCATGCTTTTCACCTGGCAAAATGTTGCAAGTGAATATAATGCAATGGTATAATGCCAAGAAAAAATACGGGATGGGCAAAGATTTGTGCTTCTGTGATATTGGTAGTTACTCCACTAGGGCCTTTTTCAACTGCTAAGGAATCACAATTCTGTAATAAAGATGTTATCCCCCAGTAATGCTGAGGCTGTTCTGAACATGAAACAACAGCAAGAGAAGAACCTGCAGAAGGGAAGCTACTGAAGTTGTTGAGGACCTTTGTGAATGGGTCTTCTTTTGAGTGAAACATTAGAAAAGAATCTTGGCCATGAAAGCAGTTATTGCTGGATTGTATTGCAAAATTCAGTGCAGTGTGAAGCCACTGCTTTAATTCTACACAGCAATAATATTCAGTGGTGCCTATCCTCATAGCTAAGATCTTTCTCTAATGGAGCTTAGCAAAGGTCCCCTGCAACTTTAAGTAGTAGCTTTTCTCTGTGGCCTTTGTCCTTATTGTTGCTTCTTGGTCAGAGCAGCAGCAGCATAGTCTCATTACTGCTTCTTAATTAGTTCCTAATCATGGAGGAGGGGTTTAATTACTGATTTCCCTTCTCTAGTTTAATCCAAGGTTATATGAGGAAAAACCTGCTAATGCAATAGGACTTTCTCCCCCCCCCCCCCCCCCTGCAGCCTTCTGTGCCACCAAAAATTGGCTCCATGGGATTTCCAGTACTCTAGTGCAGATTTTTAGAGTGTGAAGAGCTTTCAGGAGGGGAAATTGAACTCTCCTGGCTTCCCTGAAAGATCTGCTTTCATCAGTGGAGTGACACCATTGAATGTAACCGTCTATTGTTTCTTTCTATTTCTTTAATTGCAACCTCCCCACACACACACACACTGTACTTCTATGAAAGAAAGGAAAGGGCATGGTAACTCTGAAAAGGCTTGATATTTCTTTGCTTGTACGGGCTGGTACTCTAGTTGTGGTTTAAGTAAAAATGTCAACACAATTCAGGCTTGAAAGCATAGCAAACCCAGAAGACAACGCACTGCAGCAATTTAACAATTACATTGTCAGGATTTTTTGAAAAAGAGGGTGAGTGAAGGATGACAGTTCAAGAGTAAATGGAAGCAACTCATCCTGGGAAGAATAAATGAACAACTGCAGAGGACAAGGTATATTTCTTCATTGCAGGGACAAAGGTTATACGTTTCTGACTTCAATCAGACAGAACTACATATGCAAACAATGTAATTTTTTAAAAAATCTTGCCCCATTTTTTTTTGTTCCTACTTAGCTGTTTGTTTAATGTATGCTTGCACAAATACACCTTACATATTTCTGAAATTGCATTCACTTAAAATTTTGAATATGGATCTTTTGGAATTGGGTAGTCTAAATTTTGAAAACTGAAATGTTCTGATTACCCAATTCTAAAAGGTCCACATTAATTCATGGGGGATTAGGTGGGGTTTACTTCCGAGTTTTAAATCTTTGGGGGGTCACTGTGAAGGGGATGGCAAAAGGTATACTGGAAGAAAACCATAAGAGACAAGTGTGGGGAAGGCAGCAAAACAGGAACATAAAACAATACTATAAAACAATAAACAGATAATAAAAGTCATCAGCAGATCAAGTCAAGATGTTGCCCTAAATTGCTAGAAGTACTTTTTGAGAGCCAGTGTGGTTAGACTGGGGACCTGGGAGATCCAGGTTCTAGTTTCTATTCATCCATGAAGCTCACGGGGAGACTTTGGGCTGGTCACTCACTCACTCACAGCCTAGCCTACTCCAATAGGTTCATGTTGTGAGGATAAATGGAATGGAGGAGGATTACATAAACTGCCTTGGGTTCCTTGCAAAAAGAAAAAAAGGTGGGGTATAAATGCATTGTAATCATAGCAACATGTAGTATGCAGGACAGTGACCCTCTTCCTTCTTTGTTCCCTGTCCTGCACAAGTACTCACTGATTTTTAATGAATATATAGGAACATAGAGAGACAAAAGGGGCCTCCCAGGCCATCTAGTCTGACCTCTGGCTCCAGCCGGCTCCGCTCACGACCTGCCCGCCATGTGCATGTCTAGCCTATCCTTGAACACCCTCACCGATGGGGCCTCAACCACCTCCTGGGGAAGCCCATTCCACACCCTCGGGGTCCTAACCATCAGGAAGTGCATCCTGGCATCCACCTTGAACCTTGGTTCCCTGAGCTTTGCTCCATTTATATATTTAAATATATAAATATATGGCATTTATATATTTTCACTTTCTCTCCTAAAGTAGTTCTGCCCCTAGCAATGATTGATGGAATCTGATTTAGGTCAAATTCCCCCAATCTGGTATCCTCCAGAAATTTTGGACTACAATTCTCAGCATTTTTTTAACCATAAGACATGTTGTCCAAGGCTGATGGGAGCTGAAGTCCAAAAATCTGGAGGGTACCAGGTTAAGGAAGGATGATTTATGGTTACCCTCTACCTCCTTGCCCAACAGCCTGAAAGGACTGAGTATGAAGGGCAGGCAAGATGAAAGAGAGGAAGGCTATTCCCCTCCCTCTGCAGCAGCTATGGATGTGTGCAGTCATGTCAATGGGCATACTTTGCTTTCTGCTAATATGCCACATGTTGGCCACTTCCAACTCAAATGAACTGGTGTGGGGTACAGTGAGGAACCATCCTGCTTCTTGGTTCCCACATATGCTGTGGCCATCAGTGCAGGTCTGTTCAAGTGGCAGTGACACTGTACCTGTTTGCCATGGGCATTTTGTAGGATGAAGCCCCAGCTGCTAGCCCAGTGATCAGATTCCCCATACTGATTCCAAACAAAGGCTCCTGGCGCTCCTCCTCTAAAACCTGGGGAAGAAAAAGTTTTCTATCAGTAATGCCTAAGAATCCAGTTCTACACAAATTAGTCTTCACCTACAGAGATAAAAATGCAATCTTAGTTTTTATTATTAAAAAAAGCAAAACAATGACCTATGGAATGCACTCCCTTAAAACCTGCAACTGACCCCCACTGTCTTGGCCTTTAGAAAGTGTGCAAAGATTCATTTTTCCAATTCAGCTTTTTAAAATGTGTAGTTTATTAATGTTTTACCAGTTTAAATGTTCCTGGTTTTACAGTTGTATTGTCTTAAGCTGTTGTACACTGTCTTGATGGCTTTAAGTAAATAAGGTGCATAATGCTAATAAATATATAAATCAGTGTTTTGGAATGATTTTAAATATACCAGTTTCCTTCCTGACAGTCACTTGTAAATATGCAATAGCTCCAGGGCAAGGAGAATTCCCACCAATGCAACATTTTTTCCCAAGCAGATTTCAAACAGGAAATCTACACTTGATGGGCTTCATGGTTTCACGCCCTCTCATGCTGAAGGCACAAGAACAGAACAAGCAATCCTAATTTAAAATAGCCTGGTTTTTCCACCAAAGTGTAATGTCTGACCACTGAGATTTAAGCAATGTGCACATTGCCAAGTTATGGCTGAACACAGTGCCATATAGGAAATGGAGGACAGCAACACTGAGAGAAAGGCTCTCTACCTTCCTGACGTTCTCAATTAGCTTGTGTGCCTGGGCTGGATCACCAGGACCGCCAGAAATGAGAAGCCCATCATAGTCCATCCTGGTGAAATCATGATTCCAAGGAACCAGATGCACCTCAGCACCTCTCTGAAATAGAAGCAAAAGGACCATTAGGTAACAAAACCTTATCTGCATGGTACTGGATAAAGCAGCCTCATGCGGCACATCACTGCAGCCTTTCCCAGCCTGGTGCCCCCCATGTGTGTTGAACAGCTCCCACCATTCCTCTGTAGCATGGAGGGCACCAGGCTGCAGAAGGACCTGAATGTGACTTAAGCAGTGCAAATCCCTGCTCTGCTGTGATGTCCCTTGGCTAGCCACAAAGCCTAGCATACGAGTGCAAAAAATGAAACACACACTGCCCATGTTTAGTGGCACCACCCAAACTCCAGCTGGCCTGCATCATCTGCAAAAACTCCTTTTAAGAAGTGAACAAGCAGGAAGTCCAACTCAGTTGGTCATGCTCTGTACAAAATTATAAAACTGGTGCCATAGAGGAGAAAAGCAGTTTAAAAAAAGATTTACCCTGACAAGCAAACGAAGAGCATTGTACTTTAATCCACAATCCACAGCGACAATTTTGATTGGATTTCCTTTGCCATATACTTTGACTTCCTGTTGATAAGAAAGGCAAAGAAAGTGTTGCAGGCACCTTGTTGATGACATTCAAAGAGACACAGCTGTGCATGGATGGGAAAAGCACACACCTTAACTCAGGCAGCTGTCAGGTTGCCTGCCTCACCTGAATGAGGTCACACCCACTGGCACCCAAGGCAAGGCCCAAGCTATGATGCATCTCTGCAGCTCCCTGAGGGAAAGGTCTTTCCACACAATTCCATGAGGGGAGCTGCCCCAGGGGGAAGAGGGGGATTGGGCATGTAGTTCTGTTCCCTGGTCTGCTAAACACCCCCGATTTCAAACTGTATGGAAAATGAGCAGAACCTCTGAATCACAAGCCTAATCCTGACCATGGACCTTCCCTACCCAGCTTGCAGAGATTTTGACTGACTATGTAAGTCACATGCCAGGGATTCTCCAGCGGGATTGGAAAGGGCTGGAACATTGTCAATCACAGTTCAGAGATATCAAGGCCATTCTTCCTGCTACTCCCATCCCTCATCCCTGGTAACCTTGTGGTACATGGGCACAGGGCAGGGAGGCCAATTTCCCAGTGATCTCTGATCCATGGCCAGCAATAGCAAATTCTCCTTAATGTGATCCTCGCCTTCCAGACTGGGACAGGGAACACCATGCTAAGTGTTTTGCATGCTAAATGCTTTGACTAGTTTTCAGCAACTTTTTGCAAAATTGCCCTTATATGCTTGATGGTCCCCCTTTCTGCACCACAATACTGCAGACCAAATGACCATCATCAGTGTGGAGTGTTAGAGGATGCTTGTATGCTAAAACATCACACACCTTTGCTCCTTCTACTGGATAAGCAAGAATATGCCCCAGCAACAAGTAACTCAGCATTCCTGTTCCTCATCAAATCCACTGAACCTGAGACAGTTGCTGCTTTAAATGAATACTTCCCCAGAGTCCATGTCTGATCTACTGCTGAGCAAACTATTTTTATTCTTTTAATAATCCCCTTTTAATCAGGCTCTTTTGGCATGCAGATATTTCACAGCTGGAAGGCTTCATGATAAGATGATAATCTCCTAACTGAATCATTTCACAGGTGAACTACCACCATTCCGGAAGAAAACAGAAGCTCCTCGGAGGAAATACTGATCTGAAGGGCATGGCGATGCTATTAAAACCTTGGTCATTCCTGCCACCTAAATACAGAGCCTGATCCACAGCTCTGCTGCATCACGGAGCACCAGAGGGTACCAAAAGGACACCTTACAACCTCCTCAAGCCCACCAAGCCTTGGACAAGCCTTAAGGCTGCATGGCCAGCTACTCCACCCCAGACTAGTCATGCTGCTACTGCTAAGAGGCTTCAATTATTCCCTGTGGAGAACCACAGACTTCTAGCTCTGCCTAGCCATGGCAGGGGATCGGGGAAAGACACGCATTGATGCAAAAGGGGCAAGTGCTGAATTATATGCAGAAATTCAAGATTTCAAAGAATTGTTGTAATATTTGTAGAAATGCAGCATATTCACCGTGGTATAGCCAGGAGTCTGTGTGACTGCTCATTTAGCATGCTGTCCAAGTGCTAACTGCTGATGTGTGAGCTCAGCGTTTCCTTCTAATGGTTTCTTAGGACATGCACATGGCAGGCAGGTCGTGAGTGGAGCCGGCTGGAGCCGGGGGTCAGACTAGATGGTCCGGGAGACCCCTTCTGACTCACGCTGTTGCTATGTTTCTCACCTTCAAACCAAATTTGGGCAGGACAGGACAAGTGCCATCCAATCGCCACAATTGCTCTCAACTAGGTATGCTGTCTGAACCCGGTAAAGGGGAGGGGGTGGTTTACACAGTACCACAAAATCCTAGAACAAGCTGTGGGATCTGGGGAAGTTTGTATGCCCACTGCTCTCCCAGGTTCTGATGACATAACAAGCTTTGTGCATTGAGAGTAATTGTGGCAATTTGGCAGTAAGTAACCAATTTTTCCCTTGTATAAAGACACAGTGGGGAGAGCCAATAACCCAGTCATACTATAACTGACTTTTATTCAGAAACTGCTGTATATCATAGAATGCTAGAACAGTGGACCTAGGCGGGGCTAAGAAGGCCATCAGGTCCAACCCCTGCTGTTGCAGAACACCAGTTTATACCATCCCACTCATATCTAATCTGATCTGATCAATCAATAAATATTGTCTATGTATTTACATGATAGGACAACAACTCAACAGGGGAAAATAGGTCAAAAATTTAGGGAAAATGGCATGTTATTCCAGTCACATCAAATGGTGCAGGTAACAGGAGGTCAGACTTAATATCATCTGTTGCAAGGGCACCATAGGCACCACCTGTGGATGCCCTCAAAGCTACCTGGATCAGTTAGCCCACCATTTTTTACTGCAAATGTGACCATCATGTGGGCAGAGGAACAGGCTTACATTTTCCCCAGGCTTCAAGACTATTGAAAATACTGTTACAAGCACTGTAAACAGAGGCACTAGCCAGGAAACATTTGCTGCATGCCCTACAACAAATGAGCAACAATCATTCAGTCCATGGCCAAAGACAACACCACATAAAGTCATCATCATGAGGGAGAAACGTTTCAGAAGAAAAGAAGGTGCTATTGTGTTGCTATAAAGACCAAACAAGATCTGATGGACATAGTCATGTTTGTTTATTGTAGTATCTTATTAACTCTCTTATTAAGAAGGGGAGATGTGTGTTTGCTGTCCTCAACAGCATAGGGATTTTTTAAAACCCATCCCTCCCAACCTACAATCAATAGGAAAATGCCTAAGTGTTACTTCATCTTGTTTCAGATAAAAACAGTTGTTTGTTAGGACATATATTATCATGTCCTATAATTACCACCATTGAAGAGCTTAGTTAATTGTCAGCTTTGTTTGTGATGTTGCTTTATAAGCCTATAAAATAAAGTTATAAAGATAATGAGATCACAGGAGTTCTGTTAATCTTTTTATATCTCATTTATGTATGCTATTTTAAGCATTTTTATAGCAATCCCTTCTTGCTATTGGCATAGATAATCAACAGCACACACTCCTGCTGCTTATGTATTCTATAAAATGGTTAAAACTGAAACATAACTTTAAAACTCAAGGATTCTGCAAAACATCCTCTTTTTATTCCATAGGGACAAAGTGCTTTATCCAAAAACCAATGGAAAATCAATTTAATCAGTATGAGATTAGAATCAAGCTAAAGCACTGAAAAGTATGCAACTCACACCTTAAGTATGTTTACTCAAGTTCCAGTGAACTGAATGGAGCTTACTCACTGTCAAATGAGCTTAGAACTGGGTAGCGCAAGGTTAACCTTCTCTTTCCCCTGATAAAATAACCCTGCCAACTGCTGCAATGAGCCTCTCCAAGAAGACTCCCAGTAGTGCCAGCAGAAGCCTCCCACCTATACCTCTTTTGTGTGCAAAATTAATTGGGCGTAAATTAAATGAAGAGGATGATTTGGGATGATCTGAGAATGGGATACATGTTAAAGCATTTAGGATGATTTTGATGGGAAATAATTGATTCATCTTCACCAAAACTTAAAATATAGTCTACTGATTATTTCTAAATTTCTACCTATACATGTAATTTAGCATATTAGCATATAATTAGTATATTAGGTTTTAACTCTTCTACAAAATGTTGACATACCTAATTATTCTCAGAGGGGTCTTATGGATCCATGCCCTGAATCTTTTAACCTTTTAACCTAGTAAGGCCACTGTCTTTTGCTAGGTTACACAGGGATCCAAGCTGTTGCCACTGACATCACAAACCTTCCAGGGAAGATGAAGAACTCTCCAGACTGAGGAATGTCTAAGAGTACCGTGAGTCCCACTTGCATTTCAAAATTACCAAGGAGGCTTTGTTAGGCCAGGGGTTTCTACCCCTTTCTCCAAGCCTAAGTCACTACTAGTACTGTGTGAGTGCTTATGGGATACACATCATCTGTCTAGGGGGCTCCTTTAATTACCATCACTAGCTGATCATGAGGCTGTGGTGAACATATATAACCCTCCCCTTCCTCAGACAAGCCTGCTTCTTAACATAAGAATATGAGCAAAACTGATAGGGAGGTAAAAATACAACAGATTGTTTTGACTCAGCCCTATGGGATTCTACATTGTGAATTCTGTGCTGTCCCCAACTGTATCAAACACAAGTCAAGCCTGCATTTAAAGGTCAATTTTTAAAACAGGCCATGTTTTTTTTATTTTTTTTAAAGAGAGGCAAGTTTCTGCAAAATATGGACCTCTGTTCTGCAATCTGCTTGAATTATGAGTTGCATTTTATATTTAGCAAAAACGTAAAATGAACTTTTTGCCTTTTGGTACTGTCCATGGGGTTTCCATGGCAAGGGTACTGGAGTGGTTTGCCATTTCCTTCTCCGTTGGATCACGTTTTGTCAGAGCCCTCTGCTATGGCCTGTCCATCCGCATGGCATAGCTCATAGCGTCATTGAGCTACACAAGCCCCTTCGCCATGACAAGGCAGAACATTGTACAAGAGGTAGCAACTAAAACCATCCCAAAGAAAAAGAAATGCAAGAAAGCAAAATAGCTGTCTGAGGAAGCTTTACAAATAGCTGAGGAAAGAAGGGAAGCAAAAGGCAAGGGAGAAAGAAAAAGATACACCCAATTAAATGCAGAATTCCAGAGAATAGCTAGAAGAGATAAGAATGCCTTCTTAAATGAACAGTGCAAAGAAATAGAAGAAAACAACAGAATAGGAGGACCAGAGATCTCTTCAAGAAAATTGGAGATATGAAGGGAACATTTCATGCAAAGATGGGCATGATAAAGAACCAAAATGGCAGGGACCTAACAGAGGCAGAAGAGATTAAGAAGACGTGGCAAGATTACTCAGAAGAACTATACAAGAAAGAGCTTAACGTCCCTGATAACCATGATGGGGTGGTCACTGACCTCGAGCCAGACATCCTGGAATGTGAAGTCAAATGGGCCTTAGGAACTCTGAGCGATAACAAAGCTAGTGCAGGAGACAGTATTCCAGCCAAGCTATTCAAAATCCTAAATACAATGCAGTTAAAGTGCTACACTCAATATGCCAACAAATTTGGAAAACTCAGCAGGGGCCACAGGATTGGAAAAGGTCAGTTTACATTCCAATTCCAAAGAAAGGCAATGCCAAGGAATGTTCAAACTTCCACACCATTGTACTCATTTCATATGCTAGCAAAGTTATGCTCAAAATCCTACACTGATTGGTTCAAAATTGAGAAAGGAGTTTGGTAAGGATGTATACTGTCGCCCTGCCTATTTAACTTATATGCAGAGCACATCATGAGAAAGGTGGGGCTAGATGAATCAAAAGGTGGAATTAAGATTGCCGGGAGAAATATTACTAACCTCAGATTTGCAGGTGATACCACTCTAATGGCAGAAAGTAAAGAGGAACTAAAGGGCCTCTTGCTGCGGGTAAAGAAGGAGAGCACAAAAGCTGGCTTGAAATTCAACATTAAGAAAACTAAGATTATGGCATCCGGTCCTATCACTTCCTGGCAAATAGATGGGGAAGAAATGGAGGTAGTGACAGATTTTATTTTCCTGGGCTCCAAGATCACTGCCGACAGGGACTGCAGCCAAGAAATTAAAAGATGCTAGCTTCTTGGAAGGAAAGCTATGGGAAATCTAGACAGCATACTAAAAAGCAAAGACATCACCCTGCCAACAAAAGGGTGTATAGTCAAGGCTATGGTTTTCCCAGTTGCAATGTATGGCTGTGAAAGTTGGACCATAAGGAAGGCTGAGCACTGAAGGACTGAGGCCTTTGAATTGTGGTGCTGGAGGAGACTCCTGCAAGTCCCTTGGACTGCAAGGAGATCAAACCAGTTAGTCCTAGAGGAGATCAACTCTGACTGCTCTTTAGAAGTCCAGATCCTGAAGATGAAACTCAAATACTTTGGCCACCTAATGAGAAGGAAGGACTCACTGAGAAGACCCTAATGCTGGGAACAATTGACTGCAAAAGAAGGGGACAGCAGAGGATGAGGTGGCTAGATGGAGTCCCTGAAGCAGTTGGTGTGAGCTTAAGTGGCCTCCGGGGGATGGTGGAGGATAGGAAGGCCTGGAGGAATGTTGTCCATGGGGTCGCAATGGGTCAGACGCAACTTTGCAAGTAACAACTACAACAACAAAATGAACTTGCAGAAAATTCAGGGTGACCAAATAAAAAATAGAACTCCCTTCTACATGCCTAGTTATAAAAGTGTTACAAGTCTGTCCAATGGGAAGCATTTTCCAGAGTCCCACGTCCCTGTATGTTATCTAGTACACACGTATTTGCAATAAAACATTTTGACCAGTGGTTGAGAGTTCCTCCATCACAAAATATTTTTTGGCATCCTACAGAATCTCTCCCAATAGTAGGTGGCCTTAGCACATATCTTTGATAGGTATCATTTTGTTATCATGAGATAGATCAATAAATGTGTAGGACAACAGATGGTACCCCTGTATTTCTAGAAGGTTTGACTTTAAAATTGTATCTTGACCTTGGTTGAAACTTCAGCAATCAAGTTTTTCTTGTTTGGATCCAAAAATTCAACAGGCTGACCTTCAAATTCAATCTTTCCTAGAACAGTTCCCTGGTGAAATAAAAAATTAAACCAGTGAGTTCAGACAAGAAGGAACAGTGCACCAGGAGTAGCAATGGGCAAAATGTCTTAGGAAACAAAACTGCTGTCTCCTGCTTCCATTTTTTTAAAAAGATAATTAAGTCAACTGAAATAGGAAATAATAGATGTATCCTGTGACAGTTGTAAAATCATCCTGAACTGCTCCCAATCTAAAAATTGCAGTGTGTCCTTTTAATGTGGTACTGTTACTAAACCAACTGTGGCTAAAGTAGCAATAAGTCAGTGTAAATGGACAGGCCAAATTCTTACTAGATTCTGCTTTTAAGATGAATCTTGGCAATTTTCATCCTCCTGCTCCAAGAATTTACCATATTTAAGCCCAACTCTGTACTGCCCACACTGGCTATTTATCTTCATGTCCTGTGTGTTCCCATAATATGCATACTGTACATTTCTGAGCCCTCCTCTCATATCTTTGCATGATTCATAATGTAAAAGTGTTCAAGTCTACGGTTGGGTAATACCGGACAAATCAGTGCACCTCCTATTGTAATAGGTCATATGGTTGTTACAGGGCCAGATGTGATACAAATTGGAAAGCATTCTGCACATTGAGTTAAGGTTCAGATAAACATAGTCCAAATGGTTCAACATGAGTTTGCCATTCTGGCTTGAAGGGCAAGCATTGGTCCACAGTTTGCCAATTACGCACATCACATCACATCACATCACATCACATCACACTGTGGCTAGTGCTATATCTGACTAAGAGACAAGCTGAGAAAAATGTTTAGCTTTCTCAAGGACTAGAGAGAGGCTAGACCATCTCAGTTAGATATTATCCTGAATAGCTTATCATAATAACAATAAAAGCTTCACACTGATTACACCCTCAGATGGCTTAGGCAAAATTGCCAAGCAGTTTTTAATAAAACATGTAGTCCAATACCTTTCTGCCATTGTTTCTATCATGCCTGAAATTCGTGGCAAAATATATAGTACATACTATAGGCAGTATTCAGTGCTGCTCATGCACCACAGGGACCCATTGCTAGCACAATGGGACCTTGTGCTGGTCAAAATGCTCACTTCCAGAAGAGAACTGATCTCCCCTGAAACGTTCTGAAATACGTGTTTTGCCTCACTGCTAAGAAACACCAGCAGTAGGTGTCACTAGTGCAACACAAACACTGAAGGTCCAGCAACAGCATGAGATCCTGCCCTGTTATAAGCAGAACTCCCCAGTCTACTTCTACTTGCCTTGTGCTATATAAACTGTTACTTGACTTCTTGCCGTCCTGAGCATATTGCTCACATTTTTAGTTTGTTGCTTTCCTAAAATTTGATCTGGGTAGTGTCAAAATGGCTTCTGTTGTCTAGGAATGGCTAGTAATTTTGAGGAGCTAAGCAGAAAGTTGACTGTTGCTTAAACCTTATTACTCTGCGGGCTAAACTGTTGCTTAAATAACAGAAGTGTATTTGTTCTGTGTGCGACGCATATCGCTCCCTTTAGTAACACGGATCAAGAAGTTATCAATCATCCCCCGATTCTGCATAATAGAGACAAGCTGTAGTTCAGTGCCACAACACATGCATTACATATAAATGGCCCGAGAGTTCTTCCCTGGCATCTGCAGCTAGGGCTGTGAAAGACCTTGGAAAGACGCTCCTTGGTAGTGAATAGACAATATAGAGCTAGATGGAGCAATGCTCTGACTTGATGTGAAGTAGTTTCCTACATCATCTGGTCTTGTGTCTTCTCAAAGAAGCCATTCATTTCCTGAAAAAATACTAACAAGCAGAGCAATTGTATTCTACAAAGCAAAATGTGTGTGTCATATTGCTTTGGATTTAAAAATGCCAGTTTCCTTTAAAAAAAAAAAAAAACTCATACAAGAACCATTTTGGATTGCAACATTAAAAGCCTTAGGTGTGCACTGTTCATGTTCAGGAATAGATTTCTCACTTTTCCATTCATGCAGTGAAATGATCTTTACACTTAACCTCCATCTGATAATGCAGAATCAAACATCCATTCTAATATACCACACAAGAATAATGACTAAAGATCAAGCGAGCCAAATCAAGCAATATGAGGGAGACCCAGGATTTACTTCCTGGCATATATTTTTACTGAATGTAGTTCTACAAAGAGGGTACTTCCAGCTGATTCAGAGCACTGAATAAAGGGAATGTTTAATATTTTCTTTTCATACTTTTCCTGCCTTTTTCCCTGGATAAGGCAATTTTGATCAATCCGTGATCCATTTGTGTCATTATCTTTGTGTGCTGCACTAGAATGGGGGCAAATACTAGCTTGAAGAGGAAACATGTGAAGAGAAAGGAAAATAGCATTTTCCTTTCTCTTCTTCCCCTTTTTTCATTTTGTTCTTCTGCTTAACAACCAGCAAAACAACTTTGGCTGAACCCAGAAACTTTACACTTGTGATTTTCTGGAGGGTTGGCCCTCAGAAAGGCTTTTTTATGGCAGCCTTACATGGATATCTTTTTAAAATGGGCCACCATGGCTGCTTGTGCTTTTTGTCTACCTTGTCTCGAATGATTTTAGCGAGCAGCCTGGTATCAATACCATAAAGAGCTGGGACCTGAAAAACACAATACAGGAAGGTTAATACTTACTGGTGGAAAACCATGGCAATTTCATCCAAATATTGAAACCAGCTCATTTTGTGAAAGACCTTACTGAGCATGAATGCTACTAACAAAATTAAAATTTTTATTCCCTCATAAAAAGTACAAAATTTCCAGACAGTTAAAAAAAATCCCTTGGAGCAAATGCAGCATCAATACCAATGTGACTTACACCAATTCCCACACCAAAAAGTAGCCTTATTCACTCCATTCCATTAATTTGCCTTCTCCAAAATTTCTTCATTCGTTTGTTTTTGTTTTAAACTGTCAGGGGTCTACAGTAACTGCAGCACTAAATGCTCTGAAAAAGAGTGGTGAAATGAAAGGGGCTAATATCTACCTTTTCTGGAGTGACTGGAGACCCAAAAAACTCATGAAAATGTAAAGAGTGCTGAAAACTGTCAATTTATTACTGGACATTGAGAGGATTACATTGGTAAAGGAGAGATCTTGTTGCTCTCTTTTCTTGGTTCACCTTCATTTTTGCCTTTTTCTGGTGATTTTCAATTGACAACTAAGCAACTGTGGGCAAATTAGCCTATACACAATCTTGCCTTGCCAATTTCCATCCATGTTACCAACTGTAATGCATTCCCCTTGGCAGCTGAAACATACCATGACACTGACAAGGCAAAGCTACATATATTTCTGAGAACTGTAAGTACCTCCTTAAAAAACTGACAATTTTTTAAAAATACAGTGGTACCTTGGCTCATGAACTTAATCTGTTCCAGGACTCTGGTCATGACCCAAATTGGTCGTGAGCCCAGTCAAATTTTCCCATAAGGTTCAATGTAAATAAGGTTAATTTGTTCTGTAACCACTTTTTTTAATCAGAAAAATGTGAAGCAAAGTGACAAATAAGAACAAAGATCGCAGCCATCTCCCCCCCCACACCCTGAGCACAAGTGCAGCCATCTCCTTGCCCCCCCCCGCAGCATGACCACAATCGCACCCATCATCCCCGCACGCTGGGGAGTGGGGGAGAGGTGGGCGTGATCTTGGGCGCATGGTGGGGAGACAGGTGCGAACGGGGGGTGCTGGGGGAGGGAGAGACAGGAGCGATCTCAGCCATCTCCCCACCCCCGCCCCCAGCACGATCGCGGCCATCTCCTCACTCAGAGGGGGTGGGGAGATGGCCGCGATTGTGCTGAGGGCAGGGAGGGGGGGGAGATGGCCAAAATTGCACCTGTCTTTCCTGCAGGAGCACACCCATGATCACGCACATCTTCCCTGCATGAATGCAACTGCAATTGTGGCCATCTCCCCACTCGGGGGTGGGGGAGATGGCTGCGATCTTGAACGCCACCCAATGTGGAGTTCGCAACATGAAATTTTTTTCATGAAATTTTTGTTCGTGACTCGAATTGGTAGTGAACCAAGGTGTTTGTGAGCTGCGGTACCACTGTATAGATATTTGCATACCTATCTGGGAGCAAAACTCAAGGTGGTAAACCAGTGACAGTCATTCCAAAGTGCACCTGGAGCATCAATGGAAGGTTTGTTACTGGCAGCAGCACAAGCAAGATAGCAAAGAATGACACGGGGTTTCTATTGTTCTTGCCAAGCAGCTCACTAGCTGCTCCCCTGAAGCCCATGAATGGAATCTGATGGATGTAAATGACATGCAATCCACTGTGGGTTGAGCAAGTCCTAGAACAAGCCATGGATTATCAATAGCTTGTTGCAGGAAATAGCCTGGGTTCAGGTGACATTACAGCTACCTCCACCAATGATTGGTTGCTGTGTCACACAAACCTGGCACTATGTGATAATTTTGCCATGCCATTGCTACATTGTGATTTTTGTTTGTTTGCTTATTTGTTTGTTTTAGATGTAGGGATTGGACCTACTTCTCCCAAAATACAGTATTCCAAGGTGGTTACCTCAAAATCTGAATCTGAACTGGGAGAAGAGGAGGGGTTGAAATTCTTAGCTGAAATGGCAAGGCCAGCAAGCTTCAAGGTAAGTCAAGAGGCCAGTGAGAACCAGACCACCAGTTCAGAGGAAGATGCATTAGAACAGGGCTTAACAAATCCCATCATTTTACACCAGGTCAAGAGAGCTGGCCAACTGAGTAATATCTCACGTTCCTGCCATCTGCCTCACAAGTACTGGTGCTAACTCCATTTGGTGGGGAAAGGAAGAAGTGGATTGTTTGGAATCATCTTCTTAGCCTGAGTGGTACTCTATCTAATTAGCTGGCTCATTAACTTTAACACATCAACCTAAGAACTGGGCTGTAGATTTATGCAGACCTGTTTAGATTTTAGCCAAACATCAATCCCAGTGGTCTACAAGACAGTAAACAAAAGAGCTACATGACCAGTGTTATAATTTAGATTTTTAATGTATTACTATCATACCCCTTTTTAAAGTTCCTGTGAACTGTAATACTCTGGGGACTAAGTCTCTTAGTAATACTCTAAGTCATACCTACATCACCAAGTAACACTGAATTTATATCACGTTGGGAACTTTCATAGCTTTTCCCAAAGAAACCTGAGAATTGTGGTCCGGCAAGGTGCTGAGAGTTCTCCATTAAGAGGTATCGTCATGCTTTGTCCCCTACTAAACTACAATTTGCAAGACTTCCTGAAAGAAAGGAACCACTGCCCTCACAGACAATTCTTTTCAAAACTACCATTTGCAGACATGAGGAAGGACCAGGAAAAGAAGCTTCAAAAATTGAGCCAGTTTAAAATACAATCTGGCATTCTAAATGCAATAAAATGAATTTTAGATTGTGGAAACTGAGAGAGAAACACTGCTTTTGTGTAAACCACCTGGAGAACTTTGGCTGTGGAGTGGTATAAAATATAATAATAATAATAATAATAATAATAATAATAATAATAATAATAATAATATCCTGGCAAGGATCTGATGAAACTATACATCTTCAGAATTGCTTCAGCATCATGAAAACTTTCCTAAGACTTACAAACAGACTTTTCAGGACAAAATATGAACCCTGATTTGTGCCACATCAGGCAAGTCATTTAACAACCAGCATTTTAAAAATCAGGAAATTATCTGGTTTTGGTTAACCAGTAATTCCTTACCTTCTCCTCTTTCAGCCATTCCCCAAGAGACTTCACAGCCTGCCAGTGACTATATTCATTGCTGTAGTCCAACACCAGCAAGCCTGAAACCTATGAAGAGTGACAGTAAATATGACCATAAGATGTGTATATAAATTAAAGTGTTATGTCAATACTATAACAAAAGAATTTGACACTCAGCATAACACTGACTTAGAAACAACATTTTCTGGAAATTTCCTGTCAACAACCATAACTTATAGGAAACCAACACTCTTACCACTGGCACAACCAGCAATTTTTGTTCCTAAATTTAGTTATCTCTAAGGTTGTCTAGATGGATGGTATAAGAAACACTCACTATTGCTAAGGACAGACAAGAAACAAAAGCGAAAGGTGGCAGTAACAGGTCCAAATCCAGAATACGACTTTCAGCAGTTATCATGTAGAGATAAAGAGAACTATTAGAATGGCCAATGCAAAGAAACAGAAGAGAGCAACAAAGGAGGAAATACAGGAGTTTTCTTCCAGGAGATCCAAGCAATCAAAAGGAAATTCAAAACTAGATGAAGGATTCTGAAAGACGAACAGGGGCACACGCCATCTGGCCATGAGAAGATAAAGAGAAGAGGTGAAAAATACACTGGATGGAATCCTTTGAGGATGAACCTGCAATATTAGAAAGTGAAGTGAAAACTGCTCTAAAAACCCTAGACAGAATAAAGCATCCAGAGCAGATCAATAGAATTATTCCAAGCTGCAGAGACTGAATCAGTCCAAATCCTAAGCAGAACATGCCAACAAATATGGAAAACAAAACAAGGGTCCACGGACTGGAAATTTTCAATATACATTCCAGTCCCCAAAAAGGAGATGCTAACAAATATTGCATGAATTTCCCATGTAAGCAAAGTGATGCTTGAGGTGTTCCAACAAAGGATTTTAGCCTATATGAAGCAAGAAAAACCAGATGTCCAAGCTGATTTCTAAAAATAAAGAGGCACTCAAGCAGGAATGAGCAAGGAATCCATTTCGGGGTAAGAATCCGACAGATTCCTGGGCTTGGTTCCCAGCAATCTGGTCTACTTTGCAGTGGCCTAGAGCTCACTTCCTGTTGAGCACTCTTAGCATTTGCAGAAATCAAGCCCCATGCACTATGCAAGCAACACCACCTTTCCACGCTCAGTACTCCCACCAGTGGCACTGGCAGGGAAGAAGTTTGGTCATCAGGAATGGCACCTGACATGCCCGCTCACTGCACCGTTTTTCTGCATCCAGTGCTACTGGCAACATCAGGCAGGGAAGAAGGCTGGTCACTCGGAATGGTTCCTGCATGCTTAGTTGCAGCATCCCTCTTTCATGCCCTGCAACTGCAATTTGGGCAGCTGTACCTGAGGAGGAAGGTTACCAGTTGTGCAACTGGTGGTCTGCAAACATTCACAGGCTTTTGCTCTTGGATTGGTTTGACTTGCAGGAAGTCCACGGATGCTAGAGGGATGGATTCCAAAAGGGTTCATGCCAACCCTACACTCAAGATCATATTGCAAATTCACAATACAGCTAGTGGAGTGCACCAAAGACTTTCAGAAGACAATCAGTCCATGTGTATGGACTTCAGTAAAGCATTCGATTATGTAGATCATGAGACGCTATGGATGGTCCTGAAAGAAATGGGTGTGCTTCAGCATTTGCTTGTCCTGCTGCAGAACCTGTATTGTGGACAAGAAACTACTCTAAGGAAAAACAGAATGGTTTCCTATAGGCAAAGGTGCCAGACAAGGGTGTATTCTATCTCCCTTTCTGTTCAGTCTGCAAGTAGAACATACCATAAGGAGTTAGGATCAGAGGAAGGAGTGAAAATTGACAGATACATTAATAACTTAAGATATGCAGGTAATAGCATATTATTGACAGAAAGCAGCAACAAATTGAATGACTCCTAATGAAAGTGAAAGAAAAATGCACAAAAGTAGCACTGTAGCTGAATATGAAGAAACCACAAAGCATGATGATAGAAGATTTACACAACTTTAAGGTCAATAATTAAGAAATTGAAATTGTGAAAGATTTTACATACATTGACTCAATCATCACTTCAAAGGGAGACTGCAGTCAAGTAATTAGAAGTCTGAGACTTGGAAGTGGAGCAATGAACAAATTGAAAAAGATAATCAAGCATAGAGCTGTTTCATTGGAGACTAAGACCAAGATCATTGATTCATAAATGTATATGCTGTGTATAGCTGCCTAGGTGGAGGACGGCCTCCCTAGGGTGTGAAAGCTGGCTAGTGAAGAAAGCCAAAAGGAAGAAAATTGATAGTCTGAAAAATAGTACTGGAAGAGAGCTTTGCAAATACCCTGAACTGACAGAAAGACAAACACCTGAGTCCAAAATCAACTCAAGCCAGAACTTTCCATGAAAGCAAAATAACACATGGAGGCTGTCATACTTTGGGAAGTCATGAGAAGGCAATAATGCTACAGAAAGTCAATGGCAGAAAAAAAAGAAAAACAACTATGAAATGGATCAAGTCCACATAGGAAACCACAGCCTTGAGTTGGTAAGAGATGACCAGAACTATCAAGGACACGAAATTTTTGAGGGCTTTCATTGATAGGAGATGGAGGCAGCATATAAGAGGAGCAGCAGCAGCAGTGGTGGCGGCGGCGGCAGCAGCAGCAATGTTGTTTCTGCTTACCTTGATTCCATCAGATTCTACAAATCTACTAAGGCCAATTTCATCTAACGCTGCAGTATCTGGAACACCACCATTTCCTAGAATTGGATTAACCATGGTGAGAATCTGTCCCTGGTAGCTGGGGTCAGTCAGGCTTTCCGTGTACCTGGGGTCAACACAACAAAAAATTATTCCCATGAATGAGATATAAATGCCAACAAAGATTAAAGCTCCTGACCATGGCAGCATGCATAGAGACTGGACACTGAAAAGTATGCTTCATCTTATCTATCAGGAAGGACATTTTGGAGGGCCTATTAATAGGGTTACCATAAGTCAGAGATGACTTCACAGCACATAACAACTTCTTACCTATATTATTATATTTTCAGTTGTGATAGTCAGTTTGTGCTTTTGATATTGTTATATTATAAATTGTCATTTTAATTGATTTAAGATATCACATGTAATACATGTGTTTTAAAAAGAGTATAATTTGATGTAAGTATTTAGGGTCGCGAGTGATTTGTAATTATTATGGACTCCATGTTTTAGGTATCCATCTTGTAATAAGCTTTTAGGAAAAAAGAACAAGAACTATGCTTGAAAAGATAGCACAGGTAAATTTCATTGAAGAATTATAACCCTGTACCTTGATTCATACAAATAGTGCCAGAACATGGCTTGGAGATCAGGGATGTACAGTGGAGATCAGTGTTATGTTGCCTCACCATTGCTGCCTACCTCCAAAAGATTTGTGTTTTGCTAGGCACTCTAATAGGATTGTACTCCATTTTGACTCAGTGTAGTAAATTCTCAAATTTGATGCAATTTAAATGTGTGCAAAACTTCATGAACCACACAAGAGAAGGTCAGCAGTGAAATTTTTGCTCATTATTAATGTTCTGGAGTCATGACTAGTTTGTAGTGAATGTACTTATCATAGATGGAGACTGATGAAAGGGCCTGGATGTCTGAAAGGAGGGATTGACCAGAAGGGAGCTGAGACTTGCCTTCCAATGATCCAAAAATTCCATATTCAGTTAACTAAAGTATTTTGGCACTGTCAAAGGTTCTAGGACTGATGAGTTTCACTTCTGCAATGGTTACATATCACACAGCAAGAAGATGAAGTATTCCCAATGCGTTTTTTGCCAAATGCACTGGGATTCTTCAGGATGATTTACACAAGCTAAATCTAATTTATTTTGTTGCTGTTATTTAAAATGTATAATTGAATAGTCATATAGTTTTTTAAATATCAGCAAGTTGCAAGAGGCATTTCTATGGAATGCTGACATCATGGTGAAAAGATGGATTGTCACACACTGGAAAACTCTTTAAATAATCCAGAATGGTTTCAGGCTGATATCAACAATTTAGTGTATTAGCCAATTGAGAGAAATTATGTGTCAGATGAAACAATTGCTATGAAATATTGCAGAGTGTGATGTTTTACTTTTGAATATGTAGATTTTGCCACCACTAAAATAAATGAGGTCCTTCATTTTAATGTATGGTTTTTGTAAGTCTCAAGCGTACATAAATATGCACAAACAAGCTACAATTATTATCGTGTAACCCTATTAAATTCAGTTAGTCTCATCTGAAGTAAGTCAAATATGAATTTCAGCCATAGATTCTTACTACGTGTGAATACTTTTCCAAACTAAATACAATTATTTTCTACTTTTTACTGCATTTGTATAAATGTCCTTCAGTAAAGCAGATAGCATCACAGAACATCACAGTATGTTAAAATTAGTTGGATTTTCTATCTGCCCCATTAATTTCCTATCAAATGTAATATCCCAGAGTGCACTCAGGGTCTCTAGACACCCAGCTCTGCCATCAAGATACTGGTGAACCTGTCATCAGATGGCTATTGATATTGCCCAAAATGATGACCCAGGGTGTGGTCAGTTCAGTTTGGTGTCCCTGGCTACAATCCAACAAATAAGTCACAACCAGAGGATGGCAAGACAAAGGATTCTCAGCCAGCCAGCCAGCCTAAAGAGAGATCAGTCACGGAGTCTGTCTCTCAGAACAAGGTCCTTTTGCTAGGGGCTCTCTACTCCCTCCTGTGCTTCCATCCTGACCTGAGGCTGGCCTGGCCTGATGCCGGTACCCTACACCACTTATGGCCATGTTTTGTTTATTTGTTATAGGCAGCTGATGGCAGCAACATGTCATGCTGGTAGCATGTCACAACAACTGCACCAACAGACTCTGTTGGCCATGCCCAAAGTTCAGAAGGGGCTGAAATCATGGTGTGCCCTTGTGTTGTATCTGGAGCCCTTGCATGCAACGCTATTAGAAGGACTTTGAGTCCAGTGGCTCATGGGATACACTGCGGTACAAATAAAGGCAACCCAAATCTGGAGCAAATACATGTGAAAATAAGCTTGAAGAATGGTCTGCAAATAAATGAACACAGATTCTGACAGTCAGCCATGCTACTGAAGGGGAATTAATCCATCAAGTGCTGCCTGGCTTTTGTGATGTGACAAGATTTATTGCCTACAATCTATCACAGGAAAGAAAACTCCAGTGCCCTCCATCATTCTGATCTATATTACACAGTTGTTTGTTGGCAGGTATATTAACACAGCTAGTAATTAGTACTGTCAAAGAGCACAAATGATTGCCTGCAGATGCAAAACATTGTGAACAGATTTCTTGTGCTGTAATGTAATGTAGTGTCACCACCATCAATGAAACAACAGAAGAAGTGGCTGTGGTGATCCACTTACGGGAAGAAGAAAGTTTAAAGAGGATCTGCTTTAAGGCTCTGCTCAGTATTGACCTAAAATCTTGAGCCTTGTAGGTTTTGGGTCTTTGAAAAGCTCCACTACAGGTAGCAAATTGATCCCTCTTTTATTCAACATGCTTCCCTGACAGTGGAACATATACAAACAGATAATATTCACATTACCCCCATTGTTTTATAATTTGAAATTAGCATCAGGGAGTGAGCAAAGACATTTATTTATTTATTTATTTATTTATTTATTTATTTATTTATTTATGTATGTATGTATGTAACCTTCTGTATCCCATCCTACGCGTACAAGTCTCAGGACGGTCCAACAACAAAGGCACAGCATCATATCGGTAATAAAAACCCAACTAAAATAAAATTTAGATCGTAAAATAATGGTAAAATAAAAAGGGGTTGGCCTGGCACTGAAAAGAATATAAACCTCTCTGGGGAGCATGTTCCACAGCCAGGGTGCCACCACAGAGAAGGCCCTTCTCCAGGTAGCCACTCTCCTAATCTCTTTCAAAGAGGGCTCCTGCAGAAGTAACTCTGACCCAAATCTTAAGGGGTGGGCAGGCACATAGAGAAGGAGATGCTCCTTCATATAACCAGGTCCTAAACCATTTAGGGCTTTATAGGTTACACCAACACTTTACACTAGACCTAGACTTCAATTGGTAGCCACTGTAGATGGTAAAGGACTGGCATTATGTGTACATATCTGCTGGTCCCTGTTAACATCCTGGCAGCTCTATTTTGAATGAACTGAAGTATCCAGACTGTCTTCAAGGGAAGCCCCACGTAGAGCACATTATAATAATCCAATTGGGAATTTATCAGAGCATGGGTCACCATTGCTAGGCAAAGCTCATCCAGGTAAGGGTGCAGATGGTGGATCAGACGAAGTTGAAGGAAAGTGCTCTTCACACAGCTGCCACCTGGGACTCCAGGGACAGCTCTGGGTTGAGGAGTACTCCCAAACTGTGCACTCTGTCCTTTAGGGGGAGTGCAATCCCATCCAGAACAGGATTAAAGTCACTTACCTGGAAGGCTGAACCGTCCATCAACAGGACCCCATCTTGTCTGGATTAACCCTCAATTTATTGGCCTTTATCCAGCCCTTTACCCCAGCCAAGCACTGGTTAAGGACAGTCACTGCCTCACCTGACTTGGATGTAAAAGAGAGGTAGAGCTGGGTGTTGACAACATACTGTTCACTCCACAGCCCGAACCCTCAGATTACCTCTCCCAGTAGTTCCATGAAGATGTTGAAAAGCATGGGGATAAAATGGAACCCAGTGGAACTCCATGACAAAGCTGCCATGGTACAGAACCATAATCCCCCATCATCACCTTCTGGAGTCTGCTAGCCAAGTAGGAGTGGAACCATTGCAGAGCAATGCCTCCTACTCCCAACCCACCCAGAAGGATACCTTGGCTGATGGTATCGAAAGCTGCTGAGAGGTCCAAGGAGAACCAACAGGGACAGACTCCCTCTGTCCCTTTCCCTGCACAGGTCATCATACAGCGTGACCAAGACAGCTTCAGTCCCATAGCCAGGCCTGAAACCAGACTGGAATAGGTCCAGATGGTCAGTTTCCTCCAAGAGAGCTTGGAGTTGCCCAGCCACCACCTGTTTGAGCACCTTGCCCAAAAAACCCGAATGTTAGCCACTGGTCCGCAATTGGTGGCAACCTCTGGGTCCAGATCTGGCCTCTTTCGGATGGGCCTGATCACTGCTTCCTTCAAAGGAGAAGCAGCACCACCCTCACCGCCACAGCATAGGCTCAGTAATAAGCTCTAAGTAGTGTTCGGTCAGATTCAGCATGGGATTTTCTCCACCTACACTCTAGCCATCTCCCAGTCTGCTTCATCACTTGCTAGGCGTATACCAAGGTGCTGCATGAGCTCTGCATCGTGGGAGCATTTAGCAGCTTTTCTCAATCGAGTGACCTCAGTGTTGTGGACTCCACTTCCTAGAATTCCTAAACATTAACACTGCTGGCTGGAACTTATGGGGGTTAGAAACCAAAATATCTGGAGGGGAGTAGCATAAGAAAGGTTGACTAACATGCGCGGGGCACTTCATTTCCTTCCCTTCCTCTTGGATCCACATGAACCTCCTTCTTCTCTCTCCTTTCCAACCCCTGACTTCATCTTTGAGGAGACCTCAGAAACTTCTTACTGAGACCCAATAAAATGTGATTAGCAATATGATGAATATTATGATTGACTGTTTGATTGAAGAGCCCCTTACAGTCACAAAAAGAGATGCGTACTGAAAAAACTCTTGAGTTGGCTGAAGTAAAAGGGCAGTTGGCTAGATGAAAAGTTGTGCTAATGTGTAGCTGGTCACTGTATCTAGGGTTTTTCTATTTTTAATTACAGGCCAGAAGGCCATTCTCGTTAAGGACACAAAGCAAAGAGGCTTGACTCCCCTCAAATGTGACCCCTATGAGAATACTATCTTCCTCACTCTAACCAAGTGGCATTGAGGCTTGGGGAAAAAATACCATTCATTGGCATACCAACTGGAACTTTTATTTTAAAGCCTCATCAACATGCTAGCTGAGGTGTGCCATTTTCAGCAGGTTCATGCCTGTGGAGGGAAGACAGTCAATATTCGCATTATCTGTATCATTTTATATTTGAACATTCCATCGCTGACTGCAAGAGGTTTGAACATAAACATTTTGCAGCCTTCCAAAACCTGCTTCTCTCCAGATATTTTCAGCTACAATTCCCAGCATTCTCAACCATTGACCACACTGGCTGGAGTTGAAGCCCAAAACATCTGGATGGCACTAGGATAGGAAAAGTAGACTTAAGGACTTGACTGACAGGCCCTTGGCTGTGAATGTACTTGAAGGAGAAAAGAAGTGAAGTAAGATGCCAAGAAGCACTTCCTGACAGATAGGACCCCAAGGGTGTGGAACGGGCTTCCACGAGAGGTCATTGAGGCCCCATCGGTGAGGGTGTTCAAAGGTAGGCTGGACATGCACATGGTGGGCATGTTGTGAGCGGAGCCGGCTGGTGCTGGAGGTCAGACTAGATGGCCTGGGAGGCCCCTTCTGACTCGCTATGTTTCTAAGAAGAGAAAACACATCTAGAAGTTAATGTGTTTCTCCCTTCTTAGAAACACATTAACTTTCTCCTTCCCAGTATCTGAATTCAGCTCGAAGAAGGCCTCAGAAACACTCCCATCTTTCTAAACACAATAAAATGCATTTGGTAATAAGATGTTTGTGATCACTGCTTCATTAAAGAGTGCTTTACAGTGAGAAATGTGTATTTTCCTAAAGTAGCTTGCCACTCATCAGTTGGAGTAAAAGGCCAGACAAAAAAGTACGCTAATGTTTAGCAAACAGCTATGTTTGGCAGTTTTCTGAATTTGATTACTGGCAGGAGGGCAATCTCTCTCTCTCTCCCCCCCTCCCCCTCCCCACCTCTACCCTATAGCCATGCTCAGTGAGGTGTGCAGTTTTCATCAGAATCACATCTGAGGAAAGGGTAAAGCCTTTGTCCCCTGTACAGTGAAGTCCTGTATACTTTTGCTTATGGCACGAACATGTACGTACAACTGGGAGTAATGCTCTTCACACATACTGGCTGGGTTCACACATCAGGACAAGCAACCCTTGGTCTTTGTTTTTCTACCTCAATGTGTTTGATGGAAGATCAGGCTCCTGGTGGCAACCCCACCTTCCTTCCAGCATCCCCTTCCCTCTCAGTCCTCAGGAGGCATCATGGGGAGGAGTGGGGCTCCTCCAAACCCAGCTTGCTGCAGCTGTCAGGCCACCTCTGTGGTGCAAGCAGCAGGGAGCACAAGGGAGCCGATTAGGCACCCAAACCTTTCATTCCAGAAGGGGCCACGCAGGCAAACGTGGGGGAAATCTGCTGGGTGGCACTGCAGAAAGCAGTTCCACTCAGTTGATTCCCCTGCCACTCCTCTCACATGTGCCAGAGGAAGACCAACAGCTCATTCAATGTTTGGTTTGGAGGACCAACAGCTCATTCATTTTTTTTAAAAGTGGTATGTATGCTATTGTCACTGCAATATGAGACCAGATTCCTAGATGTGACAAATAGATGGGTTTTCCTTACCCAGCAAGACCGGTATTGAACACAACTTCCCCAGCAGTAGAAGATGGATGACCAAATGAGAAACCCTTCATCTTGGTTCCATCTTCCAGCACCAAGTTGGCAGTCTGTGCCTAAAAAAAGAAGAATTTGTGAGGCTCAGCATTTACAGTTTTGCATACATATAATTCATGTTACCCTTTGTAACCAGTTCTCACTCAAAACTTCCAATTTACTTCCCTCCTCTGTACAGTAGCTTGCAATGGAAGGCTATCCCTGCATTTGTTCTAGAGAATAGATATTTTTAAAACAACTGGTAAGATGTTCTTACAACAGACCAATGATTGTTGTATGAATATTATGCAAGTTTCCTGTGGCCCAGTTATGTAGCCTGCTGTACTGACCTGTGATTCAAATAGACTTCTGCTTCTTTTTTCCTGCTGTGATACATTCTGGCTTTAATGTACTAAAAGAAGTCCACATGCAGCCCTTCCAAAATGGGTAGAAGTAGAGAGAAAGAGACCTAAGTGCCACTTGTCTCCATCTGTGCCATATGGAGCATCACAGCATACAACAATAGCCTATAGCCCACCACTGTCCCCGGACAACACGCTAAGACACAGTCAAGGTGCCCCGGGCCAGGGCAGCAGACTGCGTTGCCATTCTGGCCAAGGGGCTCTAGCTGAAGACAGCAGGTAAAATGGCACCTGGTAGGAAGTAGACTGGGTTTGCACAACACAGCAGCTCACCATGATAGTTGCTATGCTGCGAAAACCTAGTCAATATTTTAACATGTTTACCTTTCCCTCAGGAGAACATTGCGCTAGAGAAAAGCATGTGAAACGGGGGAAAAAATCTAGTTGATCATATCAGTACATGAGAACTATAGCAAGACCAGTTTTGTCAGACAATAGCAGTGATTTGTTAAAGTCCTTTACTCCAAGTCTTGAGTCAAGTCTCAAGACTTTACTTTCAAGTCCAAATCTCAAGTCATTGCAAGAAATTTTTGAGTCAAGTCCCAAGTCCCAAGAGCCAACTTTAACAGAAAAAAGGGAGGGTGTGGCAGGGCAGGTGGAGGTGGGTGGGAAAGTTATACACCCCCCCCATGTTCCCATCTGCACGCCTCTCAGTGATGCACTGAAGTTCATTCCTTTGACCACAATATATGTAAGCAAAGCCATGTTCTTATTCAAATTTACCAAGATTGCAATTAGAAAAATGATTTTCTCAACGTGACTTGCCCCAGCCTGGCACTTCTTCTCCTTGGAAACGTGTGGGAGCAGAGCAGAGGCAGCAGGCAGGAGAAGTGCCGTTGGGCTCCCTGCCGAGGAGAGCAAGTGCGCCAGAAGAGTTGAAGCCTTCCCCCATACAGGGAGTCCCCGGGTTACGGACCAGTTCCATTCCTGAACGTCCTTGGGGTCGAATTTCTATGTAAGTCGGATCACATGACTGAGCCAAATGTTTGTCTAAGAGTGTGTGTGTGTGTGTGTGTGCGCGCGCGCGCATATGTATAAAACCTATGTATTCATATAAAACACTTAAGAAACACTTTCATATTCACTTAAACATCTTAAGCGCAATATGGCATTGTAATAATGACAATGCAGTAATAATAAAGTAACTACAGGTACTAAAAAGGAAGAGAGAGAACCTGCATTGTAAAAATAAATAAATAAATGAAATAGATCTTAAAACAGTTTAGAGCATTCTTTCAAATCAAATCAGTGCCTTACAGAGTTAAGCTAGCTTGCTATCATTCTTGCACAGATTGTAACAAGATCATGAATGAAGCATTTTGAGCACTTTAAAGTATATTATGTTGTTTGTTCTTTTTGTTTGTTCATTTTCTGAATATATTCCTGAGTTGCTCTGCTAATTTACAACAAACCATAAGAATACTAAAATCTCACAATTCCAAATAAAACCAAACCTTAAAAACCCAGAGGAAATAATTTAAAAATTATTTCTTTCTATAGAATTGGGCAGAGCTTTTTTTGTAAAAAAAAAAGGTGCCAGAACTCACATCCCTGAAGGTAGTAAGTACACATACCAATTCCAAGCCAAGCAGCAGTGTCCCAAGCAGCTATCTCTCACTATCAGACAGCAGATAACAGACACAATAGCAGCCTGCAGGCACTATGTTAATGATGTTTGCTGCTGATCTGCTACTAAAAAAGGTGCCAGCTAGTGCGTTCTGTGACAAAAAAAGCCCTGGAATTGGGTAATATTTGCAGGTCTGTTGGAGGGGATCAAGCCTGCCAAATTCTGCTTACATAAGTTCTAGTTCTCTTTTTCTTGCCCTTTCTGCTGTCAATTGAACAACATTTCTCCATCTGTAGCATGGGCATGCTAATACTGATCTAGTTCCCCTTTAGCCTTAGCCCTCAGCTGCTACAAGGCCATTTTTATTGATAAAAAGAAAATGGCTGTGCAAACAATCCTTGAGGCCTACTTGAACAGACTCCAAGGATACCCCTCCCGCCTCCAGCAGCACAAGCCCTGACTCTCCAAGCACCAGGTCCATCCCCGTCATCATCAGTTATCTTTAGGCTTAATTTTACCTCAAGGATTAGGAAGTTAAGAATAAAAACAGGATTTCAAGCTTTAAAACAACAACAACAGAGGTGCAGGGAGAAGTAATCTGGACACCTCTGCTTCTGCCCTTTCCAGATTCTGTTTTGGTGGTTCTGCTTCATTCTGCATTGCATAGCTCCATATTCACAGTTTATTGGTAAAAATATTTATATAGGTTTTATGACAGTCCACAGGTTTGTAAGTACATAACCAGAGGACTACCTGTATTGGAACCCCAACTCCACTACTTTGTCCCTCTCTCCCACCATCTCCCTCATGCCAAAAAGCAACTAGCTCCTAAAAACAATAGAAATCTCAGTCGAGTTTCTCACTTGTTGCTTCCGAGCCACTTTTGAGTTTGAGTCACTCGACTTGAGTCCCTAACACTGGACAATAACTCAATGAAGTTAACAAAGCAGATCAGAAGTTAGGTTTTGATTCCAGAAGCCTGGATTTCAGCCTCAGCATTCCCAGTGAGAATGGCCTAGCCTCAGTTCCCTATCTACAAAACGAGAATAATACTCATTTACTGCACAATAAATAAGGCTTCACAAACCAGTCTGCTGCCCCTTGCATGTGGTAAGTATAATTCAACTCAATAGGACTAATTTCTGACTAAACATGGATACTATAATTCAGATCTAAAGCTGCTATAAAGATGCTCAGCAGCATTATAAAGCAAAAGGTTGCAATATGGGATTGCATTATTACTCTGCCCAAAGGTCCTTCTGCAGTGCAGGTGAACAGTAAACAGAGTATACATTTCTCAACAAGTATTGTTTTCACTGATTTTGATTTATCATCATTATTTAAGAGCATATTAGTTTACAGCAATTAGATTAGCAGCACTCCTCAAACAATTATTTCGCCTTGACTTGCAAGTGTGGACATTATCATACATCCCTCAGCTGCCTTCTAATGCAAAAAAAACCCCATGACCATTAGAAAAGGCCACTTGGCCTAATCAGCTCCCAGTGTGGAAGATTCCAGCTCTAAATAGAATTAAATGCTTCTTGAACCACAGCTACAATGTTTTGGGTAGAATCTTGTTTGCTGCATTGGGATTCACCTTCTTAACATGCTAACCTAAGAAATTGGTACTGTGTGCTCATACACAGCTTTTCTTTTTAATCTGCTTTCAATTTTAATTTATTGATTGCATATTAGAAAATCTGCAACAAAGGACATGTCATTTATGCCAGCATGGTTCATGGGCATGCACTATCACCTCTAGTCTTGACTGAACAAAAGTCTCCAGAATAGCTACTATACCAGCTCATACGAGTAAGGTGACTTGTGTATGAGATGACATCAATATTTGGGGCTGTTTTTCTGGAGTTTATAATATGTCAGGTGTATAAGACAACCTCTATTTTTTTCTTTGCTATTTTCAGTTTCATGGAACACCTTATACACAAGTAGATACAGGTATTTGTCAGCTGGAACCAGGAGCCAGATTTGGGACAGGATGTGTGGCTGCACACAAGCCTCATGACACAGAAGACAAACTCTGATAAGGGAAATTTTTCGCCTTGCATATAAGATGATCCCTGACTTTTGTTTTGCTATTTTTAATTTCAAGGGTTATCTTACTTACTTGCATATACTGGCATATATATATAAGAAAATGTACTAGAAGCTTCATGTAATCATAGAGCTAGGGCTGGACCCCGCATCCAGCAGGAAACGCCTCTGAGGATGCTGTGGGGATTAAGACTTCAGAGGGGACTCATCACCCTCTTAGCCAGCATGGTTTGCACAGCAGCTGAGGCCCCAAGGACAGAAGGCCATCTTCAGGACATGTTCTAGAGGGTGTTTCAGGGGTTGGGAAGGGGCTAGGAACTGCCACTTCCACCAAAGCCAGGCAGTGTCACAGTCCCTTCTCTTTGGGAGGAGGGGGAAACCATGCATTGATTCTGTAAACTGCCCAGGGAGCCTTTGAGCTGAAGGGCAGTGTTGTTGTTAGTCGCGAAGTCATGTCCGACCCAGTGCAACCCCATGGACAACATTCCTCCAGGCCTTCCTGTCTTCCACCATCCCCCGGAGTCCACTTAAGCTCACGCCGATTGCTTCAGTGACTCCGTCCAGCCACCTCATTCTCTGCCATCCCCTTCTTTTGCAGTCAATTGTTCCCAGCATTAGGCTCTTCTCCAGAGAGTCCTTCCTTCTCATTACGTGGCCAAAGTATTTGAGTTTCATCTTCAGTATCCGGCCTTCTAAAGAACAGTCAGGGTTGATCTCCTCTAGGACTGACTGGTTTGATCACCTTGCAGTCCATGGGCAGTGTAGAAATGCAATAAACAAATAAAAGTAGATAGCAGGAATCGGCCACCTAAATGCTTTTCTTCCCTGCCTCTGTGCTCCTCCAGTGTTCAAATGAATGCCCATAACCCATAAAGTTATGGGGAGCCACATAGGACTGTGCCTGTGCCTCAAATGTTCCAAACACTCACTCAAAACTATGTAGCAGCAGAGTAGCTTATTAGTGGAGTTCTGGGAGAATGTCACAGTTGTTAGAATTTTTCAGAATGTCAAGCAGATGGGAGTTTTGCCTCTCTTT